TTACTGATTAGTTGAAATGCATTTTTTGTTCCCCTACCCTGCCTATGGGTAAAAAGTAACAAACTAAGGAACTGCTAAGTGTATAGTTATGATGACCAGATTGTAAATGCTATAGCATCTGGCTTAAAACATGGATCAAATTCAGTCACTGGGAAGTTGTTGAATAATGCTCAGGTGACCTATAAGGCCCAGGGGCCTCTTGTTATTCTTAATGAGAACATTATACATATCTATACACCCTTTTTTACTCTTTAAGAAAATTTCAAGGCTGGATGGAAGCATAGGTCTAGGAGTTGGCTTTATTTCATAATTCTTAAAACAGGATAGTCTCTTTCTAATTGCTGTTCTTAGTCCTGCATATTCAACATAGTTTGTATTTACCTTCATGTTATTTTGAATGAAATCAAAACTGTAAAAGTTTCCATTTAAATCTAAAAAATCGTTGATGAAAAAACCAATGGTAACTTCTGAATTATGCCATATGTGTTCTTGAAGAGGACTTAAATCAGCTATAGCTTTAGCCTGATTTACTTTATACCAGCTGGAGAATACATCATTCCAAAACTTATTTTTCATGGTACTACTCAGATTCTTTATAAAGCCAATTCCAAACAGCCAAAGATGGCTTGTACTTATTCCCAATTCTGCTTCAAGCAATTTAACCCATTTTGCACTTGAGCACATAACCCGCCTTATCCAGCTAGATTTCAATGATGTAACAAAATTTTTATAGTCTATCATTTTTAAGCCCCCAAATTTATGCTTTTGAATCATTACATTTTTCTTAACCTTATGATTTTTATTAATCCATAGGAAATTATACAAGTCTTTTTCAAAAGCACTCATGACATCATCATTAGGATTTGGTAAAGTGAGGACAAGATGATTTAGTTTAGGAATTAGTAATATTTTTATTACAGTCAGTCTTCCAAGAGGAGTAAGTTTGCGTGCTTTCCATTGTGACATGGTTTTTTTTATTTCTTCAATTTTTATTTTGTAATTAATATCTACCATCTCATGTAAATCAGCATAAAACTTAACACCTAGTAATTCAAAGGATGTAGTACTGGGATCAAACTTCCATCTTGAGTGATGAAATACATCTTTTGAGGATTTTTTACTTCCAATCCAGACTAGTTTAGTTTTAGAAAAATTTACTTTTAGACCTGAGATTGATGCAAAATAATCTAACACTCTTGTAATTCCATCCAATGAGCTTGGAGAGCCATCAGAAATAACGGAACTATCATCTGTGTATTGGGACAACTTGTATTCTTCACCATCAATAGTTATACCTTTTATATCTTTATTTTTTCTAATTAAAATACCTAGAATCTCTGCACAAAGTAAAAAATGTACGGTGAAATAGGATCACCTTGTCTACAACCCCTTTCAGGGCAGAAATACTGAGACACAATCCCATTTTGAATAACACAGGATTTTATATTATTATAGAAACATTTTATCCAATTTCTAATTGACTGACCAAAATTGAAGAAACAAAGTGTTTGATGTATGAAGTTCCATGAAATGGTATCAAACGCTTTTTCAAAGTCGATAAACATTAAGAGACCAGGTATATTTCTTGACTCTGCTTGGTGCATAATATCATATATTAATCTAATATTTTCACCAATAAATCTATCTTTAATAAATCCTGTTTGGTCCCCAACTATTAACTTATCTAAGAATTTTTTTTAAATTCTTTCAGCAATGCACCCTGAAGCTAATTTATATACAACATTTAAGAGGCTAATAGGCCGCCAATTTTTTCAAAAATTGTTTTGGCTTACCAGTTTTCGGAATACATGTTATAACGCCTAATTTGTTTGGTTCAGAAAAAGCTTCTTTTAAGTATGAGTCGTTGATTGCTCTTATGATAAATGTGCCAATATCCATCCAAAATAATTTTAAAAAATAACAAGTGAATCCATCTGGACCTGGACTTTTATCATTTTTCATTTGTTTAAGAAAGTTTAGAACCTCTGATTTTTTTACAGGACCCTCTATACTTAGAGATTCTTCAAAAGACAGCTTTGGGATATCATTGTATTCTGATAATTTTTTGCTGTAGTTTTCATTGTCTATAATTTCTCTTTTTTATACAGATTTTCATAAAAAAGTTTTGTTTCATTTAGAATATTATATTGATCTGAAATAATAGATCCAGTTTCCTTTTCTAATCTTGGTATCTGTTTACTCAAATAATTTCTAGATTCAAGTTGATTAAAATATTTTGATGGTGTTTCACCTTCATCGATTCATTTCATTTGGGAACGAATAACCTGTCCCTTTAACTTTGTCTTATGTATATCTTCAAGTTCTGTTTGTTTCATTTTAAGAGTATCTAATGTACTTTCTTTCAGATTTTGTTCTAAATGTAAAATCTCATTTTCTAAAAATAATTCTCTTTCGTGCATCTTTTTTTTCTTGCATATTTAATACTTTTGTGATCTCCTCATGTCTGATAAATGAAATACTGTAGAAGTACTTTTTTCCGCGTGGTATTAAATTACGCTATGTACACGGTCACAAATTTTCCGCGGAAATTTGTCCAAGCGTACTTAATATAAATGTAAGGCATATGGTGACAGTCAAGAAAATCCGCGTAATATTCTACCCGCGGATTAAGCAGAAATTGAGATTCCGCGGAATTATGACCCCGCGGAAAAAAGTACGTCTACAGTATATGGAGATAAAGAACAGTATTCAAGCTCAAAAGCCCATTGAAACAATACAAATCAGGAGCACAATAAATATGTACTAAAACATTAGAGGAGGGATCAGGTGCCATGGAGGAGTGAGCATCCCCTGCCATCATAATTGGGAAATAACGTGAAAACCCCCTACAATTCAGTGTATACATTGTAAATAACGACCTAACAATTAGTATGAAAAAAAATCAGCATTTTGACTTTATGATAAATTGTATTAACTGAGAAGGTTATTGTATCGACAATAGAATTTATGATATTGTTACTTTAAACGAGACTGTTGATATTCTTCTTGCATCAACTTGTTTTTCAATAATGATCTCGTTTGAAAATATGCTCATACATAGAGCATGAAAGAGATTAATCCCGTAAGCAGGTAATAGGTATATAAGATGAATAAGTAAAGGAAGTCATTACGTTTATCATAAAGTGTTAGGTTACGGTTACCATTAACGTTTTTTTTCTATAAAACATATCCAGATATGAAACAAATGCGTCAGACCTTGTGCTATCTTTCATTTCAAGCTCACTTGGATATATCCTATCGACATAAAATCATATGGAAATAAGTATTGTTAATTGATAATACGTCGTCGATATATCTAAATTTGAGTTGAAGGTCTCAGCGATTGTTTTCTTTTTCTTTTCTTTTGAAAAAAATTCTGCTTCAAATGAATACGAAAAAATCTGCTTATAACGTGGCATATTTGGTACCCCATGGGAATTCCAACAAATGCAAATTATACAACATAAGATGCCTATTTTACAAGGGGTTGGCATAACGCAGTTTTAAATTGTAATTGTCGAAAGTGTGCTTCAGAAATTTAAAACAGAACAGATTGTTAAATAATATGGGTTTTCTTTTTTTTTTAAATTCTTGATATTTGAATGCAGAAATATAACAATGGCAAATAAGAAGTTCAAAGATTTTAACATAAATTTATTGTCATTTTAAAAGATATTTTCTAAGATTAAGAGTTCTAAAAAGTTAACATGTTTCGAAAAAAGACAAAAATAGGAAGATTAGTAAAGAAGATATCGAAAAGAAGAAATGAAAAATAAAAAAAATGTATATATATATCAAAAAGGCTTACCTCTTAACGTGTTTAGACAAACCGATAGTTCTACTGTTCCAGAATGATTTGAAACAAGTCACGGATTTCCTTTAGCATATAATGCGAGTTGAATCGCAAGAGGTACTCCTGCTATGAATATCATTTGGTAGTGTGTCTTTTGAAAATCCTCATAAATCCCTGTCTTAATTTCAAATTGGTTGTCTCTGGAGAATTGAAGTAAAAACAATCAACAATACAAGGGTGATATTTGTTCGTGCCATGGCTAACCTGGGGATTAGTTTCTGCGTATTGTTGCTTTCACTTGTGAAAGTCGTCTTTTGATTATATCCAAATTTTCTGATATATTTGAGCAAAAAAAAAGACGAGTGTTGTTCCAGAAATACGAGAATTTTTTAATATGTTTTCACTAATATTATAAAAATAAGAATAGGTATGCATCATTGTCAAACACTTTGTTAATTTAAAAGAAATTTCAACAAAATATTTCCATATATAGCTTTTTAAAACGAAAAATGAATCTTACATAATAGTTGTTGGTGGAAAAACCGATGACGTCAATACTTAATTTTTGGCGCCTGTAAATTTTTGCAAATTGTTTAGGATATATGTCTCTTCTGCTGAGAATTTCAAAGATACATGGAGCCAAAAATTTAATACTAATTTGATTTTTACTTGGCAAGTAATGTATTTGTCTTAAACATATAAGAAGCATCGAAAGATGAAAAAAATAAATTCTTTGAACAGAAAACGTTCCATAGCACTCTCTTGCGTGTCGAAGCAACTGGGAGCAATTAACTCCATAAATGCAAGTGTTAAGGATACATTGCTACACATCGATAGAAAAATTAGTCATCACGTTCAGCCTAAGGGTTTGCTAGTAGTTTACCATTATGACCCTTCTTTATTGAAATGTCCATATTAGAAACAGACTCTGTAGAATATTATATTTCGAGTTCAATAGGATACATCAATATTGCTTTGGAATGACAATTCATAGTTTCAACTGAAAGTCGTTGATATATTTATATGTTGAAGTTAGGGCCACGTGAATTTAACATACTTATTTGCACGTAGAGGTCTATCTGAATATGTCAGTATTCACATATATAAACAAGTTTGTCCTTTAAATTCTAGTGCTTCTACACCCAATCTTTTTTTAAAAGTATTTCATCCATTTAAGGGATACCGACCGTTTAAAATATGAAATAAAGTTTAAGTTTACAAGTCTTTTAAAATGTAAATTAGCGAAGGTAGAGCGTATCGTAAACAGGAAGTAGTTTAGGTTTGCTCAGACAGAGGGGATCCTCAAGAATTTACTTGAGTGATAGTTAACTCTGGTCAAAGGTGAGATTTTTAATTAATATTAAGATAAATCAATTAACACAATGTTGATAGTAACTTATAGAAAAACCTTAAGGGATCATTTTTACGGTCAATCCCAGAGTAGAGGATATGGAAGACATCACAATGAGAATCAAACATCTACGTTATATTTTATGTTTTGTAGTGATTGTTTATAGAATTCAGGTACACTACCAAGGCTCATAGTCAAAGGTGTTTATAAGAAACAGTATATAATTATATAATTAAAGAAATGAAACACATAGTTTTCATTCTATATCGACAATATTCTAGATGTCTTTTAAAAGTTCCTCACGGCATCTTCCATAATCTGATTAAAAAAAACTCTTCTTAGATCCGCGCCAGAAACCCCTCTACATTAATATTTAGAAAAGTGCTGAAATAATGGATAAAATCTTCGTTAAAAAATAGTAAACCTAAGTGGAATCTTGTAAGATTTTTTCTTCTCCTGAAAACGCATGACTATGAACAATAGAGATCAACAAGCAAAATGGGTAAAGAGGGTAAATCTCTTACAAATGAATTTGTTATAACCATTCAGGCTAGAATCATATTTTTTTATGTTTTGCCTGCAGAAAGTGTAATACTTGTTTGAATTCTGTCCGTCTGTCACATCTCATTTTAAATTGTAAGAGATAAAAATATGATGTTTGGTACGATGTTTCTTTTGATTCAAGAGATGTTGAACTTGAAACATTGTATATATCCTTTGAGCTGCTTTTGTTCAGTGTTCAATAACATTCATACACAACCTTTATTTAAGTCGATACTTAGAACATACACTACTTGTTATGATATTTTTTCCCTCGAAATACTCGTATAACAATGAAAATAACTTTTCAGGTACTGAATTGTGAGAGATCCAACTTTCTTTAATTAACATTACCTTGCATATTTATAAACTCACTATTTTTTTTTTCTTTTAAACTGTATGAAATATATATACCACACAAGATGACTTTGAAATGCATTGGAATTAAACAATGAATTCGAATCCGAATCGGTACATCGACTCTGGTTTGTAAATGAACTTGTCAGGTGACATTTGAGCATAGTTTTTCAATGTTTATCACATCTTTTTTTAAAAACTATTTGACAACTTCAGAAATGATGTTTTATTATACATGAATTGTGCTTCTTTTAGGATACATTCATGAAATATAAAACCAGTATTCAAATAAATATGCTGATAACAAGAATGAAATGTTGCCATTATCTCTGCTTTTGTGAACAAATCGTTTGTTCCTTAGAACACATTATCTGCTTGTTTTCATGATAAATTCTTCATCAATTGATGATCATAGCTTCTGAGAAAAATACTCTTGTTTGGAGTCCGCGAAGGAAGTTACATTAAATTTGAACACGTTCTTAATAGATTTGTCCAAATAATGTAAGGATTGCAAAAGAAACAAATATTTTTAAAGAGAGACGATGAAAATAATGCTACATTATTATCGGTTTATCAGATAGATATGCAAGATTTTTAAAGGTAACTTTGTTCAACCGCATTTTTTTCTGAATGTACGTGGTCTCAAGATGGTACTATATTGTATTCGTTTTTATAAATAACAAAAGAAATGTTGAGTATATATCTTAGGTGCTTTGTATGCCAAGAAAGGCTGCATTTCTAGCAGTTTAAATTTTCTATTTGATCTCTAAAATTAGTTTTTAAAACAGGCAATTATTTCAAAAAAAAATTTTTTTAAACAAGAATTTGAAGTTTTGAACCTTTTTTGATGAAAATATATTTCAAATTGCTTTTTAATGATTTGATAATGATAATGATATGATAATGGAGAGGGCTTATATCTATTAGACTATGCCTGCTGCCCAATCCGTTTATGTAATTGCTACAGAATAAAATATGTTCAAATCAAATCAAATCAATTAATGATATACTTTTTCAAATCCATGGTACGAGGGTTCGTCATATTTGATATTTAATCCAAAACACAGTTTGGTTGTCATTATTGTGTATTGATATGTATCAAGATAAAAGTTTAGGTTACACATACAGTCTTTCTTTATTGTGCATTGAAAAATACTAACGTCTTTTGTTATACATAGTTTGAATGAGGACATTTTTGTAAGGTTTGGGGTTTTCTAAAGACTTGTTTTAGTTTGTATTCTTGGGCACCTCATGATGTAGCCATTTCATTCAGTTTACATGCACATCTACAAAGTATCACCTCTAAGATTTTATATAAAATAATTTATCTTTTCCCTACAGGTATCCGCTATGGAGGATGCTTCTGGGCCCTTGCCACACCAGGCTAAACCAGATGAAAGAAGGGAGGACTATCACATGGACTTTCAGAATGAAATGTATGAGCGGATGCCTCCCTCCAGAGCCCCCAGCGGTGTTGGGGATGATTCGGGAGTGGGAGACGGGAGTGAACCTCATGGCGGACTGATTGATGATCTCCTGGGACCTCATTTTAGAAGCAGATACCGAGATTCTGGAATCCACATTCATATAGGGACAGTGCATTATCATCGAGAACCTCCATCATTACCAGGGCTGTATAGAGGGCCGGTCTATCAGGGAGTCAACCAGCAGCCACCTCCACCCTGTAGTCCTCTGAGTAACAATCAATATGCATCATCACGTACGTGTTTGGTTAGAAATTAAGGGGATATATATTTTTGTTTCTAAAATTTGGCGTTTGAATCCATTTTCAATTTTAAAACTTTTTGTTTACATCAAATGTCCATATTTCCATTTCATTCAAGATTTAAGATGAATAAATTCATTTTAGATCCCTGGTCAATATACAAGAATGATATCATTTTCATGTATTTCTGTCAATAATTCAAGCTTGTCATTATGAAAAAAATTCTTCATTGTCCATTGTTATACACTTTTAAAAGTACAGTAGACTTTTATTTTAGCTCTACCCAATCAGTACCACCAAAGCAGATCTGGTCACGTGAGAAATATGCGACCACATCCCTCTCAATCAGATGTTTTTGGAAACGTTTCTTTAAGACAACCTAGCACAGTTATAAAGGTAAATTAATTAAAATGATAGAGGAAAAGAAGTATTGTTTCTTTTAAAATTCTGTGGCTTATTTGGTAATTTTATTATGATACTAATTAATTGCCAAAGTTATAAAGGTACATTTTTAAAACACACTGGAAACCAAGTAACATTATATTATGCAGTTTGATACTTTTGGACACTATCTTAGACTTTACTTGCTACAAAGTCCTTTTCATCTCTGTAGTCAAAATAAAATACAGTATTGTTTAAATTAAAGGGGTATTTAAATGTATTCATTCATTGTTACCTCTGTTTATGTTATTTAGTGTGTTTTGACTACTTAAGCTTTAGGACACTTTTTATATTTTATTACCTTTTGTGACTTTTTTTGGTAACAATATTCCTTACGCAATTCTACGATATATATCTCTTATAAATCAACTTGGAACTCAGTGGTTTTGACACAGCATACAACAACATGCATTAAAATGCGTATGAACCAGAATGTTTTTTCATGTATATATGAGCTTTATTTTGTAATATGGCCATGAGACATTGTTTATTTAGCGCATGTGGTGTAGAGAAATCAAACGCCTAATACATACACATATATAAAGCATTACTCTTAGCAAAACCATGTGATCAGATACATTATTATATTTTTTCTTTGTTTGGTTTTAAACCTTAAATTTCATCTACCTCCCTCATAATATTTCAATAGCTAGAAATACATAAAGGTATTTCTTGATAACATATTTTAGAATCAGGTGAAGGTAAATAACAGTGATTTATACGAAAGCCCAGAAGGCTCATTCGAGATTCGAGTTTCAAAATACGAGATTCAAAATTCGAGATTCAAAATTCGAGTTTCGAGATTCAAGATCCAGACTAACTAATCAAAAGCGGGTTCAACATTTGATTACTCCCCTTTATTATGTTTTTACTATCAAGAAATCGTTTAATATAATTATAACAAATGGGTCATTTGATTAAATTACAATGCAAGAAAGATTGTTATATATTTTAAAAGGAAATTTAAATAGTATTGGATTTTTAATCAGCAAGATATACTTCAATTTATATGATAACTTCTTAAACATTAAATAGATTACATATATCAGGAGTATATATATTTTTGTATTGTCTACTAAACTTAACTGTATTTCCTCTATTAAGGAAACAACAAGTACTTTTGGACAGGACCCCCCCCTTCCCCCTCGATGTTCAACGCCGGGAATTATTGGGCTTTTTTTTTTCTTTTACAAAATATATTTATAATACTCAATCAGCATGACTACAATACGAAAAAATCGTAAAATCCCCAGAATAATCGATCAACAAAGAAATACCCCATACATCGGAAGAGAGAAAGGTATGCCACTCCAGTCTGTTTACGTTGTACCCTAACTGGTATTTCTATGTTTAAAAACATGCATTTATTTTATTTTAACCTAAAATGTCGATTCACACTGTCTCTACATATATTTCTGTGTTAGTCCATGCTATCGAACTGACTGCATCTCGTATAATCCCATATTTTCTCCTTAAACAGCATTCTCTCTTATAATGTATAGTGGGGTATTTTTTCGTTGAGCGATTATCTTGGTTTTTTTCGCCCGAGATTTTTTCGTATTGTACACATGATGAATAAGTGTAATAATTATAATTTGTGAAAAAAATGTCCTTTAAGCCCTGGCGTTGAATATCGGAGGGAGGGGTCCTGTCCACATGTACCTGTGGTTTTCCTAATAGAGGTAATACATAAAATTTAAGTTTAGTAGACAATACAAATATATATATATACTCCTGATATATATAATCTGTTTAATGTTTAGGAAGTTATAATATAAATTGAAGTATATCTTGCTTAGCAAAAAATCCAATCTTTATTTAAATTTACTTATAATATATAAAACTCTCTTTCTTGCATTGTAATTTAATCAAATGACCCATTTGTTATAATTATATTAAACGATTTCTTGATAGTAAAAACATAATTAAGGGAAGTAATCAAATGTTGAACCCGCTTTTGATTGGTTATTCTGGATCTTGAATCTCGAAACTCGAATTTTGAATCTCGTATTTCGAAACTCGAATCTCGAATATTGAACCTGCTTTTGATTGGTTAGATTGGATCTTGAATTTCGAAACTCGAATTTCGAATCTCGAATTTCGAATCTCGTATTTTGAAACTCGAATCTCGAATGTACGAAAGCCCAGAAGGCTCATTCGAGATTCAAGTTTCGAAATACGAGATTCAAAATTCGAGATTCGAAATTCGAGTTTCGAGATTCAAGATCCAGATTAACCAATCAAAAGGCTCATTCGAGATTCGAAATACGAGATTCGAAATTCGAGTTTCGAGATTCAAAATCCAGATTAACCAATCAAATGCGGGTTCAACATTTGATTACTCCCCTTTATTTTGTTTTATCTATCAATAAATCGTTTAATATATTTATAACAAATGAGTCATTTGATTAAATTATAATGCAAGAAAGAGTGTTATATATATATTAGAAGGAAAGTTAAATAATCATTGGATTTTTTATCAGCAAGGTATACTTCAATTTATATTATGACTTCTTAAATATTAAATAGAATACATATATCAGAAATATATATATTTTTGCATTGTCTACTTTATATAAAGGGTTGTTGACATAATAATGAATTTATAAATAGTGACTAAAGATTAACAAAATCCCCACCCCTACCCGCCACACCTGCCAATTTTTCCCGAAACTGAAAATGTTACTTTAAAAACTTGAAAGGAAATGTAGCCTTGATAAAAACTGAGTATATTTTAATCTCTGACCATAACGCTATGGTCATGCAGAGACTTAAATATAAAACCATAACGCTATAGTTCTGCAGCTAATTTAGACTAATCTACTGTTTGATATCAGATAAAATGAATGCTGCATTTATTCCTATTCATATTTGCAATCTGTATTGTATATATATAATTGTTAATTGATTCAAGAAATCAAAGCCTTAGATGAAGATAAGTAATTGAAAACTTTATTTCTATGTACTGAGTATTCCCTCTATTAGGAAAACGAACACGGTTTTTATTTATCAAGGCTATATTGCCTTTCAAGGTTTTAAAGTAACATTTTCAGTGTCGGGAAAAATTGGCAGGTGTGGCGGGTAGGGGTGAGGATTTTGTTAATCTTTAGTCACTATTTATAAATTTATTATTATATCAACAACCCTTTATATAAAGTAGACAATGCAAAAATATATATATATTCCTGATATATGTATTCTATTTAATATTTAAGAAGTCATAATATAAATTGAAGTATATCTTGTTGATAAAAAATCCAAATATTATTTAACTTTCCTTCTAATATATATAACACTCTTTCTTGCATTGTAATTTAATCAAATGACTCATTTGTTATAAATATATTAAACGATTTATTGATAGATAAAACATAATAAAGGGGAGTAATCAAATGTTGAACCCGCATTTGATTGGTTAATCTGGATTTTGAATCTCGAAACTCGAATTTCGAATCTCGTATTTCGAACCTCGAATCTCGAATGAGCCTTTTAATTGGTTAATCTGGATCTTGAATCTCGAAACTCGAATTTCGAATCTCGAATTTTGAATCTCGTATTTCGAAACTTGAATCTCGAATGAGCCTTCTGGGCTTTCGTACGAATGAGCCTTCTGGGCTTTCGTAGATTTATCTTGTTTTTAATTCCACAGACAATACAATTCTGTGAACAGGACAAAATATAGGAGGCTAGAAAATTTTCTGATGAGCCAACCATACAAAGGCTATGTTAAGATATTTTTCACTAAAAGTTAAAAAACAGATTTTTTTACTTTAGCCTAAACGGAGAATTATGACCATCTTTAAAATAAAATATCTGATTGCCCTCTCCTGACCGACTAGCAAAAATTAAGTGGCCCATCTCAAAACTTCCAGGAAGCAATAATTTTTTATGTATTATATATTAAAAAAGATTTTAAAAGCATTGATTTTTTTCTGACCAAAAAAAATTATCTGCCTGTCTACCATTTTTTTGCCTGATTCTGGAGAAGGCAATTTATAGTTGGACGAACTCTGTAATCTTTTTAAAATCTATGCAAGTACTCTGAAGTTGACATAAAAAGATACTTGAGTTAAGTCTGATTGACAATATCTAAGTTATTTTTGGAGACCAGGTCTTCCAACAATCTATTGGAATTCTCAATTGGGTACCCATTGCTCCCCGTTATTAGCAGACCTTTTTTATATTCATATGAAGCAGAATTTGTGAAAAATCTTATGCGTGAAAAGAAGAAAACACTAGCTATGGCCTACAACTCGACATTTAGATACATTATTGTTAATTAACTATGGTAATTTCCATTCTTATGTAGATATGATTTATCCTGGTGAGCTTAAGATAAAAGATACCACAGAGTCTGACATGTCTGTTTCATACTTCGATATTTTACTTGAAAAGACGTTAATGATAATCTAACAACCAAGCTCTATGATAAACTTGATGACTTTAACTTGTCTATTGTCAACTTCCCTTACTTATGCAGCAATAAACCTTCATCACCTGCATAAGGAGTTATATACGAAAGCCGGATAGGCTCATTTTTGATAAGATAAAAAAATATTTAACTCGTTATAACGAGTTAATTATCTCGTTATAACGACTTAGTTATCTCGTTATAACGAGTTAGTATCTCGTTATTACGAGTTAATTATCGCGTTATAACGAGTTAATTATCTCGTTATAACGACTTAGTTTTATCTCGTTATTACGAGTTACTTATCTCGTTATAACGAGTTAGTATCTCGTTATAACGAATTAGTTATCTCGTTATAACGAATTAGTTATCTCGTTATAACGAGTTAATTATCTCGTTATAACGACTTAGTTATCTCGTTATAACGATTTAGTTATCTCGTTATAACGAGTAAATTAACTCGTTATAACGAATTAGCTATCTCGTTATAACGAGTTAATTATCTCGTTATAACGAGTTAGTTATCTCGTTATAATGACTTAGTTATCTCTATATAACGAGTTAGTTATCTCGTTATAACGAGTTAATTATCTCGTTATAATGAATTAATTATCTCGTTATAACGAGTTAGTTATCTCGTTATAACGAATTAATTATCTCGTTATAACGAGTTAATTATCTCGTTATAACGACTTAGTTATCTCGTTATAACGAATTAGTTATCTCGTTATAACGATTTAGTTATCTCGTTATAACGAGTAAATTAACTCGTTATAATGAATTAGCTATCTCGTTATAACGAGTTAATTATCTCGTTATAACGAGTTAGTTATCTCGTTATAATGACTTAGTTATCTCTATATAACGAGTTAGTTATCTCGTTATAACGAGTTAATTATCTCGTTATAATGAATTAATTATCTCGTTATAACGAGTTAGTTATCTCGTTATAACGAATTAATTATCTCGTTATAAGGAATTAATTATCTCGTTATAACGAGTTAATTAACTCGTAATAACGAGTTAATTAACTCGTTATAACGAGTTAATCAACTCGATATTACGAGTTAGTTATGAATTAAAAATGATTGTAGTTTTAATGCCATTGATGTTTAGTTGATAATTATCAGTCATACTTCACTTTAAAATTGATAAAAAGTTGCAATTTTAATTTGCGATATGGTTTAAAAGACACTAATTTTTCTGATATGTTTTGGATGACTTATTAGCTTTCATAACTAATGTCTTAGTACCTAAATTAATACATTATAATAGGGAGCTAACGCAGGCGTTAATGCAACATATATAATATACACTTACAGTGTGATAAATATTATTTTGAGAGTCAGAAATGTTTGAAGAAGGGGGATATGGAGACATCAGCAATGAGGCCATGGGCGTAAAATTCGGGGGCTACTGCCCACTCATAACACAACATCAAGAGGCAGTCATAAGTTTCCGTATACATGTACATGTATTTGTCTTCGGTCTTTTAAGTATACAATACAAATCAACTGCATCGTTTATACATTAACAGAATACAATCACAGGCACAACCCCTCGAAAAAAAACTAGTTTGCTGTTTTTCAATAAAAATCTTTATCATACACACTATAAACAAACTTAACAAACTCGGTTTTATATGCTATACTACTATACTTCCTATCACTTAGATATATCAACTTTAGATCAGTTTTATTTCGCTATAACGAGAAAATTAACTCGTTATAACGAGTTAATTTTCTCGTTATAACGAGATAATTAACTCGTTATAACGAAATAACTAACTCGTTATAACGAGATAACTAAGTCGTTATAACGAGATAATTAACTCGTTATAACGAAATAACTAACTCGTTATAACGAGATAATTAACTCGTTATAACGAGATAATTAACTCGTTATAACGAGATAACTAACTCGTTATAACGAGATAACTAATTCGTTATAACGAGATAACTAAGTCGTTATAACGAGATAACTAAGTCGTTATAACGAGATACTAACTCGTTATAACGAGATAATTAACTCGTTATAACGAGTTAATTTTTTTTTATCTTCTCAGAAATGAGCCTATCCGGCTTTCGTAGTTATATATCTCAGTTGATGTTATGTTCTACGTATGAACAATTTCTGAAACGACGTAAATTATAGACAAACAATTTGATGAAACAAGAGTATCAGCAGTCTTGTTTAAAGTCATCATTTTCGTAAGTTCTCTGGTTGATACGATGAGATTGTCAGCAAGTAAAATTTATCATTGAGTCAAATGCTAAATGACGTGTTTCATTCCAATTGTTATTCCATTATTTTTATACTGAAATGACGACAGATTTTTTTTTGTAATTTTCCGAACATGACAATGAGCACACGCAGGTATGGGATGCTAACTCCTTCATGGTACCTCGACCTCTGATGTTTTGGAGGTCCGTGTCTGCTCTGCTCCTTTTTTGTATTGTTTTTGGACTTTTGATCTTGAATACTGTTCGTTTTCTCCATATGTTTCAACCAATATAAATCAAAAGCAAGCAAACATGCAATGGCCTCTTAAACATAAGAGGTGTGATAAGAGAAAAGTGTTGGCGAAAAATTAAAACAATTTCAAAATAACTTAACGAAAACGACCATGTTAGTTCATTAAAAGGCATATTCCAAAACCTGCTGTAAATCTATAAGCTTAGTGTCTTTGATTGCAGTAAAAAATAATTTCGTTGCACTCTGTAGAGTAACTCACTGCGTAAATTATATCGCAAAAATGGGATACTTTTTAATTTACCATGTTAAGGCTATTTAACTCTTTAAAAAAATCAGAACTGAGCTAAACAAATCAGCGTAACAAAAAAATTACCACAAGGATATTTTGGACAGACGGCCACACAACGTTTGTTGTTAGAAATGGTAGAGTGTTTGTTTTTGCAATTCAACCAAATACGAGGGAATAAGTCCTTAACACTTTGTCAGGAATTATGTTTCAATGACAATCTGCATTAAAATAGTAATCGTCTATACATTATACTAAACGAACTTTAAATGCAGTGTGTTTGTAAAATTATATTATTCGACATATAAATAACAGACAATAGGAACGATGATGCACTTGTACCTATTAGTGTATTTAACAAAGTACGTTTCGTGAAAAAAAATCCATTGGTATAATGAATGAATAAGAAATTCAATACACCTGATGAAAAAAGTAAATGACCGACTGTATCCTTCGAAGAAGATGGTTTGGATAGGGATTTCCCCCGTTTTACCTCATATCTTTATAAAAGATGAAATGTATTTCAAGTAAATGTACATTAGACTAGTGGAAGAGGTACATGTGTATATATGATGCCTGGTACGTACTTATTTTCATTAAAGAGAAATGCATTAAGAGATACATGTACTTAAAGATGATTCAAATATGTGATTTTAAAATAATTCTGGGGACTGGTTACTTTTGACTTTTCTACAAATTCCTCCTTTACTAAATTCATCGCGTATGTTTCTTTGCACGATAAATTTTGACTCTCACTTGTCTTCTTTCCAGGGTACAGAAGATGGGACACGTACAGCTAGAGGAAAAACGGAAGCTTCGACTTCAAGTGAGTACAGAATACAGCAATTTCTTACCGAATACATTCACTTCTACAACAGAGACAATATTTATTTCATTTCACAGTGAATTAATAAATAAACAAGTTCACAGACCAAATGGAAATTTAATAAAGATACTATTTTATTTTAAATGGATATATCTTTCAACAATTTTTTTTATTGGATTTTATATTTCAGACTACATTTCACTTGCAGAGTGCAATACAACTGATACTGTTAATTCAATGGAAGGAGGTTTCCACAGCGTCATTATTGAACCTTCTGAGCAGGTAATTGACGGAGTAAGTATAAATTTATCATTTAGTTTGACATCAGCATGTAAAATATGTTGATAAATTATATTTTCTTGATTTCTTTAGATTTTATAAAAATCTAATGATTAAGGAGGATCTCTACACCTATGAAGTATAATTTATTTACCGGTATTAACTGATTTTTATAAGACAGAATCAGATAATTTCGGACCAAAATGGAGTCTCGAACAAAAGTGTCGGTCGTAGAGAGTCTCCTAAGATCGAGGTTTTATTGCTTTATAAAGGTTCCAACGCATTACGAGGTTAACTTAAGGCTCTCAGAAGATGACCCAGTTATGTATACTGGAGAGCTCAAATGTGTCCCATCAGTGCCAGAGTTACGCCCGCCAACTGCAGCATTACACCGCCCGCGATCTACAATTTATATTAACAATGCATACGTTAGTCAGGTTTGTGGAGGCATTTGCAGAACATTTTATCCTTGGCTCAGTAGTATTGGCTATTAATATATCTATAAGCAATTGATTTCTAAAGAATATAATGCATGTGTCCCTGTCTAGAAGAATAACCATTCTCATATTTTGGTTCAAAAGGCTTTCATAATTTGCATTTTAAAAAAAGCCTGAAAAAGTTATTTACATATTATGAAAAAATACAAAAACATACCGGTATACTAGAATTTATGATGTTTAAGGACAGATGATACAAACAAACTTTTGCCAAAAGTTTTGATAATAGCAACTTGGGTCATGTTTTAATGAATAAAATGAATAAGCTTCACCACGTAGTTTTTAATTTTTTATTCAAAGTTGCACAAAAATAGAATTTAAAGTGAAAATGTGTGTATTTAATAATAAGGATGGCTTCAGAAGGGTATAATTTTGAACATCACAGAAGGTTTACAATTTCTTTATATTCTAGATATTTATTATTTGCATCATTTGCAATGAAATGTGGTCAAAAAATATATACCTATCCAGGCATCCATTTTTTGTTTGTATCATCTGTCCTTAATATTTTCGCCATCTATTATACTCAGAACAAAAAGACGGTGATTGAAGGCGTAGAAGAAGCTGACTATGTAAACTATAATCAACCGTTCACAAAAGCTCAGGCAAGTCGATCATTTGAATACTATAACACTGGTAAACATAAACAGACTTCTATTTTGTTTGTAAGAGATTGTAAATTTGCATTTAAACGTGGTATGATTTTCACCAAATACGACATAAAAAATGTTTCGCGTCGAAAAATATTTTCTGCATGTGTTTTTTTTTCCCTAACATATCCGAACAAATATTGTTCTAAAATCGAGGTTTACAATAGCTTTTTTATTGTCTATAATTTTTCTTTTCGATTGAATTTTAGGCATACAGAATAGGCAATGCGGGATCACCGGGAAGTCCTCCCATGGGACAAACATCTAGACCTGTCCGTCCAGTGGGACAGACGTCAACACCAGAGCTGAGGAAAACGTCACAAAGTGATACAGAAGACAAAGCTCCAACTGAGCACAGATTGAGTCGAGGCTTGTACTCCAGAAGGGAGCTGGCATCATCTGGGAAAATTGGTATCAATCAAACTATATTCTAGGAAAATATATATCAGTATACCCATGAACCTTTGTATCGTCACAGTCTCAAGCCATTTCGATCTATACTTGCCCTTACACTATCACCACCTGATCTCTCATACTCTAGGATGCATTTTTCTACAAAATTATAAATCAACAAAACGACCCTTGAAGAATTCCATGTCAAGTAATAGTCCATTAAAAGTAGAGTTAAAAGTTACAAATTATTACTGGAATTAATCGAATTCTGCTAAAATAAAAGTTGTATAAAAACTCATTTGTATCATTCAGGGCGTAATCCCTTTAATGCCTTCTTTTGTATGTAAACTACACAACTTGGACAATTGTAGATCATTGAAGCAGAATATGTGCAATAATCTTCTTCAGTCCTAGTCATATCTTAGCACCTTGCAAGCATAGTCTCAGCTATTTATCTAGAATCAGATTTTTCGACAAATATCTAATAGCAAACTAGCTGTTGCTGTCTTGTCTGAAAGACATACATGTACCAGAAAGTTACAGATCAACCACCTGTAAAACGTAAACCTTAGCTTGATAATCTTTTATATCAAGCTTCGGGTACAAGTATAATTTCTAGCATTATAAGCATTACTCCACCTTAAGGCCGTGTCACACTGTCACGATTTATGCTACGATTACCCACGAATTAATAAAAGTTGAAAATCGCTGTTCATCGCCAGGTTTGCCTTGCGATTTTTCTACAGCGTGTGGAATATTTTGCTGCTAAACTGGTGTGTCTGCGATGTCTGTGCGACAAAGTACGAGGTTTGTACGATTTACGTACGAACTAAGGCGACAGCGTTACGAACTGGTTACGATATTTCTACGATTATGAAGGATTAAACTCGGTTACATACGATCCTCGTACGAAGGACTGCGATATGCCACGTTACAAACACGATATTCCCACGACTAATGGCGATTTCTTACGATTATACATGTAATGGAATGCTAATATAGAGTAAAGGGAGATTTGTCTGAAATCATTAAACATCATAGTTATGTTATTTGATCATAGTAAAAACTACAGTTTGGAACTTTTGATTATGTTCAATCTCTTCGTATCTTTATTGTACACGCTGTTTATAGTTTCTGTTACACATGTATTTTCAGTTTATTTCACTTTTCTAAGCTTCTTTCCTTTTATTTTAGGCAGTATTTTGATTTTGACAGTGTTAACATCAGACACCGTCTGCCTACATTGTATCAAATCGTAGTTCAATCGCACAGTTTTCGTACAGCACTTGCCATCAATCGTCCTTTTTCGTATCATATTCTTGGGAAAGTCGTACTATGTTCTTATCAATTCGAAGAACACTCGCAGCATCTCATAGGACACTCGCAGTAACTCGAGAGACACTCGCACAAACTCGAAGGACACTCGAAATAACTCGCAGGACTCTCGTAGTGTCACGAGTACTACGGAGTTCCGCGAATGTCGCACGAACTTCGAAGATTTACTACGGATATGAGTGCGAGTGCAGTGCGGATGCTGTGCGATTGTGTACGAATAATTAAAAATCGTGCTGTGTCCACGATTGTTTTGAACATGCTCAAAACAATCGCCAAGTATGGCGATTTGCTTCGATCCAACACGATTAAGGAAGATATCCTGCGAGTACTTCTGCGATAAATCCCGATTTGCTGCGATTTTTGAATTCGTAGTGAATCGTAGCTATAAATCGTGACAGTGTGACACGGGCTTTAAGCATGTTTACATTTATCAAACATATTTTTCTCATTTACCTTTCATTAACTTTTCAATTGCCCTCTATGGCGATTTTATTTGTCAATTTCAAAGACTTCGCTATTGACGGACACGTTGGTGTCATATGATGAGACCCCTGCCGGGGAAAATACACCTAGTAATTTAAAACTGTTTTAAGTTACATGTCAATTACATTGTCTGTAAGTCATTAAACAATTAAATTCAAAAATAAATAAATGACGATGTGTGCGCACCGTTTCTATACAGGCACATGTATCTTCACTACAAATATGATCCCAACATGGTTGTCGTAAACAAAAGTTTTCGAAACTGTGATATTTCAAGGTCATAGAGAGCTATTTGAAACCGATGACTTATAAATAAAATGACATAAAACCATAAAAGCAAAATAAAAACACCATAAAATTTGGTAATAAGAAATGTTAAATTAACGGATACCAGGCTCTAGACGGAGAAATGCGTATAGAGCAAGGAATGTCACATTTTTCAAAAAGTGCAAATGGTACATCGGTGGCTCTCAGAATGTCTGTTTGCTTATCTAACCAGAGAATTTCGGTTTTATAGAAAGTTTCTTGTCATATTTTGATTTTCATTTTTTTTTTTAATATAAGTTCACATATAAATACAATATAAAAAGAAGAGACATCTAAAAGGTTAAACCGTTACATAGGTGGAGGGAGGATGTGGAAATCAGCGGCTAACTTAACAGAGAGTGTTCCCGCCGTCAGACCTAAGGAGGGCAGTGTAATGTGTTCAAAGTTTACCTGTATATCAGAAGGTTTCCATCCGGACATTGAAGACGACAACGAAAAAGCTCACATCAAAGAATGTCTTCACAATAAGGGAAAGGTAAAGCAAAAACGACGTGACGTGACATTAATTTAATTATTAGACTAGTATATTATAGTTGAAAGAAACAGAACAGTTTATTCATTACTTTGAACAAAATGTTAAAAATATATCTTAAATAATGTATTTTAAAGTATGTTCGATGGCATTTAGCTTTAAAATAGTCCTGTTCTCTACTACCAAGTGTGAAGCTTCGCAATGTCTGTTGTCTTGAGCTTTGGTGATTTTAAATTTGGTGGTAGAATTTTTTCATCATGGTCAACTTTGAATGATAATGGAATGTCAAATCAGTGGAATTATTTTTTTTTTACAAAAATCTTATAAAATATACTTAATTGTAACATTATAAAGATCACAATTTGGATTTGCAGAGTGGAAACTGGGTAATGTTGACTCTACAGAATCATCCCGTGAACAGGTATTGTCTTGAGGTTAAATACCAGGATGACGTTCTGTCCTTCCCCGTGATGCTGACTCGCAAGAAAAAATACAAAATCGATCCCTCTCGAAAGGTAAGATGAAATTTATTATAAAGCTTTGTCATCTGGGAATTGACATTTTATAAGATTTTTTTTGAAATAGATATCGGTCAGTTAACAAAACAAATATGTTGCTAAAATGAAACACAAAAACGAACATAAAACTCTATTAGTTTCTTTCTTCATTAACATGTTTGGTTTAATATAAATTTACAAATGGAACCATTCCTTTCTTAAATAAAAAGCGCCCAATTTGATATTTTCGAAACTTTTTACATTTGTCTTAACTCTATTCACTTTTTTCTCTTTCATGCACTGTAAAAATCTTAGATTGTTATAATTATATGTAAGGAAAAACGTTAAATGATTCAATTTATCAATTTAATCTACTTCTACATTGCAGTGCACAGCTGCGATAATTCATTGCTTTAATTTCATTCCCCCTGTATTGTAAATTTAATTTCAGGGTTTCAAGTGTCTATGCAAATTGATTGAGTTTTACAAGAAAAACAAACTTCCATCGTGCAATGTTAATCTCGGAAGTCCTTTCCCTAAGTCCTCAATCCCACCGACTGAGGCGGAGGCCGACTGTAGTGATGAGGTTATAAGGCAATATGCTGGCATCAGGTTATAAAAATGCAATGTATTCTTACACTGCCTACACCAAATTTAGAAATGTTCGTTTCCAAGTTTCAATTTCTGTTCTATTTTCACAACTTTTTGCTTAATAAATTTGCCAGAATTCATTTAATATGTTTGCATTTTACGAGAGCATTATTTGAAATCTAAAATTAAACGGAAGACTAATGTTTCTTAAAAATCTTTAATGTTTATACTCAAATGGTGTCAGAGTTTCGGGGAAAGATTTTTGTAAACTTGTATTGATTGATCCCCCACAAGAAAAAAATGTATATTATTTAAAGAGAATTACATGTACATTTACTTAACTTTTTTATATTTAGAAAATATATTTTGTGCAGAGGTACACTGGATGTTGCTTATTTCAACACTAACTAAGATATACTGATACTAGTATATACAATTCTCTTGTATTCTGTGATACATAAATCAAATATTGTTGTCCTTGTTTTGTTTTATCAAAAGTATGCCGAATTTGGAATAAATTCTCATGAAAATTGTGCTTATTTTTTTTATGCAGAAAAAAACTTGTACCAATGGAAAGAAATTCTCGTTGTTATTCATACATGTATTATGTTCCGCAAACATTATGAAATTCGAGGTAACTTTACATTCCTCATGGATGAGATCATTTTTCTAAATGAAAAACCCAACTTCCAAACACGGAAGGCCTACCCTGAAAATATATTCGACGTTATTTTGAATAATGTAATTCATATTCAAATATATAATCGAATAATGTACTTTTAAACAACACTTAAGACAACAAACATATAGTAATATGTATTAGTTAAGGTCATACATCGTGGATACAACACAAACGGTATTTGTTTTAACCCCACCAACTCCACTTGACTTTCTCTGAAATATAGAACACACATTTAGAACAACATGTAGTTAAGAAGTAATTAGATATTGATTATTTTAAAATCCAATGGGTTGTAACCTTGATGATAATTCGTAAGTAAAATTCATTTCAAGATTTTTTTTGTCATGATAGTCCCAAGACAGATTTGAGGCCAAAATATACATATACAAACTCGAAATATCTCAATTAAAAATTGTAAGATTTCAAGAACGAGAAGGTTAAGTGAGGTAAAAAAAAATGTCCAAATGTTCATTTTGCAGTAAAACACATTGATATCTTCTGCGAACTGTGGGTGGTAAAGTTTAGCTGATGTTCAAAAACTTAAATTAATTGACTTACGTTTTCGGTTGCATTTTGTGACACCGTCTCCCGTATAGCCATTTTGACAAGCACATTTGTAGGAGCCTGGTGTGTTGGTACACTTAGCTCTGCGGTGACATTTGTTTGTAGATCGCCGGCTGCATTCATTGATATCTACATAAAACAGGAACGAGAATATGAAAAATTGTTAAAGAAAATTTTAAAAGGAAATTCTAAATTTATATGAAGAAATATGAGAAAGTACTATGGTACACAGAAAATATTTCTTAAATACAACTTCTTGTAAAATAATCTACCTTAGCCTTATGCTGGTATATAAAATGAGATAGGTACATAACTGTGATTATATTTTGTAACCTTTTTTTACCAAGTCCTTACAATTGTTTTTATTTGTGTAATGGATCCAAATGAAACAACAGGCCCAGGGGCCACATCGCTCACCTGAGCAATTGGCTAGGAAAAAACACAGATCAGATCAGAACTGAAAGTAAACTGGGGGGGGGGGGGGGGGCTTGTTTTACACCCCCCCCCCGGGTCATGATTTGAACAAACTTGAATCTACACTACCTGAGGATGATTCCCTATAAATATAACGAAGCCTGGCTTTGAAGTACTTGAGAAGAAGATTTTTAAAGATTTTTCCTATATACTCCTATGTAAAACTTTGATCGGCCTTTGTGGCCCCGCCCTACCCCCGGGGGTCATGATTTGTACAACCTTGAATCTACACTACCTGAGGTTGATTCCATATGAGTTTCATCTTTCCTAGCCCAGTGGTTCTTGAGAAGAAGACTTTTAAAGATTTTTCCTATATATTCCTATGTAAAACTTTGATCGGCCATTTTGGCCCCACCCTACCCCCGGGGGTCATGATTTGAACAAACTTGAATCTACACTACCTGAGGATGATTCCATATGAGTTTCATCTTTCCTAGCCCAGTGGTTCTTGAGAAGAAGACTTTTAAAGATTTTTCCTATATATTCCTATGTAAAACTTTGATCGGCCATTTTGGCCCCACCCTACCCCCGGGGGTCATGATTTGAACAAACTTGAATCTACACTACCTGAGGATGATTTCACATGAGTTTCATCTTTCCTGGCCCATTGGTTCTTGAGAAGAAGATTTTTAAAGATTTTTCCTATATATTCCTATGTAAAAACTTTGATCGGCCATTTTGGCCCCACCCTACCCCCGGGGGTCATGATTTGAACAAACTTGAATCTACACTACCTGAGGATGATTCCACATGAGTTTTATATTTCCTGGCCCAGTGGTTCTTGAGAAGAAGATTTTTTAAAAATGCCATTAATTTTTCTCTAATTCATAATTATCTCCCCTTGGAAAAGGGCCTGGCCCTTCATTTGAACAAACTTGAATCCCCTTCACCCAAGGATACTTTGTACTAAGTTTGGTTGAAATTGGCCCAGTGGTTCTTGAGAAGAAGATGAAAATGTGAAAAGTTTACGACGACAACAACGACAACAACGACAACGACAACGACGACAGACAACGGACAAATTTTGATCAGAAAAGCTCACTTGAGCCTTCGGCTCAGGTGAGCTAAAAAGGATAAAGATAAGGAACAAACTTATAAACCTAGTAAAATATATAAATCGTGAATAAGGCAAAAAGCATGGACGCTTGGAAACCACATCGGTGAGAAGGGGAATAAAACAAAGTACACATTTGATAAATTCAAGCCTTCATTGAATAGAAACACAAACCAGGCTTAACTTGAAAATAATCATCACTTTCAGAGAGGATTGATAATTATCTTATTTTAACCGAAAAAGATCAAGCTTGGTAAGAAAATTAGTCTAAGGGGACTCACTGAGCCCAAGGAGCTTTCTTTCATTTATCTTAGTTTTTCTAATCTCATCAGATCTCTCTTTTTTTTGTCAGTTCATAGTCAAACTGAATTATGAATCTACTCAATTACCCCAGCTTCCCACTGTATGACAAACAAATCAAAATATTTATTACTGTATATTGATATTCAAAAATGAACATGATACATAAATCATAAAAGAGTTATTTAAAACAAAATTGCGGGTGGAATGCATTGATAATTTAGATGGACCACCTGCAATTTATTAATTTATTTTTGCGGGACCCAAAAAATAAAAACTACCGTTGCAGTAGGATCCATCCCCATAGTACCCTTTAGGACACGTGCACTTGTAGGAACCAATGGAGTTCTTACAGGAAGCCAGTTTGTTACAGTTATTGCGTTCTCCCTTTGAACATTCGTCAACATCTGTAAGATTAAAAAAAAAGGAAAATTAAACAAATATCAATTATAAAATAGATATACAAGTATGTAAAAAAGAATTATGGAAGATGGTCTAACCTTGACAAGATTTCCCGTTTCCTCTGAAGCCTACACGACATCTACATGTATAGGAGCCGGCAGTGTTAGTACAGGTAGCGTACGAGGAACAGTCATTCTTACCTTTACACTCGTCATTATCTGAGGTAAAATTTAAAATTAAAAAAAAAAATTAAAGCAGGAAAAATTCTATTAATGATTAATAATTTAACCTTTCTGAAACTTTAATTAAAGTAAAAATATCATTCTAATTAAAAAAAAACAACACGAAAAAATACAAAAAGCAAATTGAGCATAACATGTTTGAATGAGCATATTCTTCGTATTGCTAGCTTTTTTAATGAATCTATTAAAAGAGGGAAATGATGCATGAATTTGATTTCAAAAGAAGCATGAAAGAAGGAAAAATAATATTATTGGGCCCCAATTGGCCCCTGGATGAAAATGCAACAAGTTCCCAATTCTAACTGCGTTTCTCCAGGACATTATCAATCATGCATGTACGTATTTCTAATTTGGTCATTTTAAAAGAAACTCTGAGAATCAAATTCTCGTAGAACTGAGTCTTTTTTTATCCTCAATTGTCCCCCCAGGGTGGAAAAAGAAAATGTTTAATACCTTGTTGCACCCCTCAAGTACCTGCTAATCATATTTCAAAAAGATGAATATGCTAAAATGAATGCAATAGGAGTTTGAAGAGGCAGATTTGTGACAGGCAGACGAACAATTTAATATTAATGGTCCCGTCTGAACATTCTTCCGAAAGTGAAGAATTGAATAATAATAGCTCTCGTGTAAACTTGGCATGAATGACATATTCTTGGAATGCATAAAAATTTACCCCAATAACGAACAGCAACTCAAAATATCTGTGAACTGGTATTTACATGTATGGATAAGTCAAAATGATTTTAAATATCTAATAAAACTACATATTTGAAGCCATTTTGGAGTAAATGATATCTCATCTCACCAATACAAACGGTTCCAGTTCCGATAAATCCCGTTTTACATTGACATTTAAAACTTCCGTCAGTGTTTGAACAAAGGGCATCCTTGTGACAATTATTTAGCTTGGGATCCTTGCATTCGTCTACATCTACAAAATATTATTATCAATACATTTACCAAACAATTCTTTGGGGCTTGTATGTAAGTGATGTTGTACATGCCTGACATAAGGGGTAACGATCATCTGTTGTTAAAGCTAATTAATGACCTGACCACTGCAATGCTAAAGTAAAGTAAACATTATACTGTTGCGGTGCCTAAATTTTTAACTTTTAATTGTAGATATATCTGTCCGTGTGCATATTTATTACCTTCACATTTTCCGTTTTGAGCAGTGTAGCCTGAGGTACACGTTTTTACAGGTTCTGATTCCTGCGCCAGGGCTGAAACAGTATCAAACCAGATAAATGTCTTCACATCGCTCATTGAAAATATTATAATATATTATTTTTATCATTTATTTCAAGCTCTCTGATTGGCTCAAGCTTGATCACATGATTAAGTATATAACAGCATAAAGACTTGAGTTACTATTTATAGAATCTGAAATGCATATCGACTTAATGTTTCTTAAAATGGAGATTATTTTCTGTAAAACAAAAATAGTACTGATTTCACAATTATAGCTAATACAGTGTATGACTTGATGTTTCTGAAAAATATAAATATTAATATTTTAAAATGTTCTGTAATTCATGAGGCATAACAGTGCATTGAATTAGGATCTACTTTATATTAAAACATATTAAATATGTTTGTCAAAAAGTGATACAAATAAATGTTGCATTTTGAATAAGTAAATCCTCTAAATTACTCTATCAATACAAACATGATAAAGGAAACAAAATTACATTAAACAGCTTAATTTATTTTAATCTCTAGTCTTTAAGTGTTAAAGAGAGGAAACTTGTGCCTTGTTCCCATTATTTTCAAATTGTGTTTTGTCAATCTCTGTAAAAAATAATATAACAAATGTAGCCCTTAAATTCGGTCAATCCATAGATATATCGACTTCACAGAAAAGCAAATCGACCTCGCACGTCGTGCGCGGTCGATATGCTTTTCTGTGAAGTCGATATATCTATGGATCGACCTCATCAAAGGGCTATATTTATATAATTTTAAGATTATTTTTACATGGAAAGAAAACTGATTAATTTGTACCTACAACTACATCTAAATCCTCCTTCAGTATTTTTGCATGTCTGATCTGCTTCACAATTGTGAGTGTTAGTGGTGCATTCGTTTATGTCTGAAACAAAGATATAGAGCTTTCATTATTTTGACGTATAATGAGTATAAACTAAAGGTTAAAAAAAGGTTATAAAGTAGCTCACCCGTGCATGATTTCACACCATCCCCTTCGTAGCCTTTCTTACAGGTACATTGAAAATTGTCACCGTTTGCTTTACATTCGGCCAAACGGTTGCAGTTGTGTTCACCCGTTTCACATTTATCTACTGTATACAAAAGTCTAGTATAATTTATGTTCTCTAAGCTTTACTTCGAGAAATTTGGATGAATTTGTTTTTTTTTTCAGTTGCTCCATACACTAAAAATGTACTAATATTTAAATTATATACCATGATTACAGAGCTGGCATGTTTTCAGACACCCAAGATTCTTTGCTGCTTCCGGTTTTTGGCATATTTGAAGAGTACTGTTCAGATACTTGCAGTTGCTGGATGTATCGATGCATTGTTTAAAAACAATGGTATTGTTTGTTTCACAAAGCCGCATTCCTGACGCTGGTTCATACCATATTGCAAAGTTTTGTACTTTGTAGGATGGGGAGGAGGCTCTGCGAATCAGTTTAAACTCTTCATTAACTGAAATTATAAACATGGAAAAATACTCTTCACTGAATACCCACCGCTTGAAAAGTGAGAGGGTATATAGTGCTTGGGATGTCCGTCCGTCTGTCTGTTAAGCTTTGGGGTACCCATCTCTTATCCGCAACTCCTCTTATACCACTGAATTAAGTTTATAATGATACTTTCACAGAATCTTAGTTACATGGTGCTATTGTGCACCTCCTATTTTACTTTTTGGTTTTCCCAAAGTAAAACATATAGAAACTGTCATTCTTTCTATAATATTGAGGGGTACCGATTTCTTATCCGCAACTCCTCCGATATCGCTGAAAAAATTTACTGATACTTTTACGGATTTTTTATTATACCGGTTATAATGTAATTGTGCACCTGCTATTTCATCCTTTTGATCTGACACTTATTGGGTCTCCCAGAGCAAAACATGGACTTTCCCATTACAATCATATGGGAGGCGAAGAGCATCATTTAGTGAGCTCACTGCCCACAGTACCTCTAGTTTAATGTGTGTTCTTTCCATGCAAAGACATGTAATACTTGTAACATGTAAATAATATTTTTTTTAAATAATTTACAAAAAAATGTATGTGACCCAGAGTGGGAATCAAAATTCTTCAACCTTATTGCACATCTACAGGACACAGCCAATTATATATCTTTATATATTAAATAAAGAATTCAGGTATTCATTATTTATAGGTTAAAAAAAACGTCGATTTCAACCTCCATTCGTTCCCATATGATAAAACTTTAAAAATATATATATATATATATATATATATATATATATATATATATATATATATATATATATATATATATATATATATATATTGTACATCTATCTTCAAGACAAAGCCTATTATATCCCAAACTACGATTAGGATACTGATCATGAGAAAATGTAAAAGGGGTTAAGGGATCGAGGGGTTTGTAGAAAAAAAAATTTGACTTCCTATTGGCCCAAGGGTGAAAATTGAAATTCTGAAACCGTTTTGTACATCTACTTAAAAATTATTTTTTAAGGCAAAAGAATTCACGGAACCAGTTTCTTGTAGGAAAAAAAACGGGTTTTTTTCGATCGCCAGGATGAAAATCAAAAATCCAAAACCTTACTACATATCTACAGGATACTCCCAATCATATATTAAAATATGATGGACTACAACAAAATAGCAGGGGGAGTTTAGAGATTTAGGTTTCTTGAAGGAAATGCAATGCTTTTCGACCCGCATTCGACCCCCAGAGTGAAAATAGAAATTCTGAAACCTAATTGCACATTTACAGGACACCATCAATCATATTCCTAAAGATGAGTTAGGAATTGCAAAAAGTGTAAGGGAACTAGGATTTCTTGAAGGATACGGATACTTCCCTTCAATTTCAAGATATAAATTAAATTTATAGGCTACTGTGTAGGCTCGAAATGTAAGTGGGGTTCAGGTAAACAAGTTTTTTGTAGAAAACACTAACTAATGCGTCTTTAACACTATTTTGGCATCCACGCTAAAACAATTTCAAAATCTGGTGAGTTGGCAACTGCTTAACATGTAAGAGTTGTTTGAGGAAGAAAAAAAGGTTTAAGACAGCACGGATGGAACAGGGTAACAAAAATATACCCAAACTTTCTTTAGACAGTGTGGGTATAATTCAAGTCCATATTGCATATATTGCGTCTAATACATCATAGTCTTACTTCCATTGAATTCCACATCTCTGCTTTGCCTTTGAAGTTGGTCATCCCGTAATAGATAATCACTGAACATGCGCACTAGATTTTCACTATGGAGGGATAAGTCGTGGCTCAGATGCACGGCAAAAGAAGAAGCTAAAAGGGAGGCTAGAATCACCAGAGGCTTCATCTTCCTGCAGAAATAAAACAATGGAAACATAAAAACGAGGGTAATAGCTCTAGGACTTGGCCATTTCTTTGACCACAGAATCTTTGCTAGCTTATGGTTTCCGATCCGAAAATTATTGTTGTAGAGTAGATGTCGGATCACATACCCCTCAGTTGCTTAGCGAAGAAGGGATCATTAATGAATTTCTCGAGATTATTATTTCAAATAAGAGGGTAATGATGTTTCTTTCATTTCTTGCCACAAGAGATTTTATTGACTTTATTATTTTATCATTTATGCAATGGATGAGGAGACTTTTTAAAGTGGGCAACTCAGTGTAATTCCATGGCCTCTGCATTTTAAGATTTTTGTACTTAGATGTAAACTATAATAATATTATCTTTCTTCACTGGATTTTATACCATATTTTGGTTTTTGCCATTCAGTAAAAAGATTGTATATTTTAGAACATTTTTTAATGTTTTTAATTTTGAATGCTTGCATGTGTCTCTACGTTTAAAGACTAGGTATTGAAGGACTTATTATACAATGTATGACGTATTAAAAAGTGTTTTAAAAACCTTTTAGGCTGTATTAGTAGCATATGAGTATTGCCATGAATGATATTATAAAACATGCAGCTAAACACGAACTGCATCAGTATACTTGTCGCCTTTTCCATTTTTCTTTCTTTGAATACTAATATTATGCAAAACCATACTTTTGTTCAAGGCATTATTTATTTATTTATTTATTTATTTATTTATTTCCATGTATTTGATTTAATATTTATTTACATTATTTACTTTATTTATTTCCGCACCTTTCTCCTCGCCAATTTGTTTTATATGCATGTATACCTCTATATAGCTGTACAAGTTTGAAGAAACCCGTTTAGAAAAATTTCAGTTGAACATGGAACTGTCTTTGCTAAATAAATTGTTGCTTATTGGACGACAAATAAAATAATTTTCTTTAATTTCGCTGTGTTTTTTTCTGTACTCACGAAGGGCCAAATTCATACATTTTTTCTTAAGAATAATTAATGAAATCAAAGTTAAAACTTACCAGGTATGATTATTAGCAGATCCGTAGTCCGTGTTGAGGACTGCGCGGCTAGATCGCTAAGGCTACCAGATGTCGCTACATCACACACACCTTCGACACGCGAACATCACATTACGGGGGTCTTCCTACAACTGAGACAGAAGGTTCCATTTTAACTGAATATCACTTGAACACTTCGACTTACCGATTCATTTGCATATTACTACGAAGCTCAGAGGAAGGGGGTATATTAAAGTGCGTGCTTGTGAAGGAGGGGGGTATGAAGCAGAAATATGCCATTTAAAATGCATTCAAAAAGATTATCAATTGATTCACAAAAATCTCCTAAATATAACCTTCAGAATGAAAATATGAAAAAGAACTCTCTGACCAAGGGAGAAATCTAAAATTTTAATGAAAGGTTTGGAAAGATAGCGGATAGCAAAATGACAGAACTCTGCAAATCTCCTTTCGGATGACTGAATATGTACAATAGTTTTATCCTGTTGACAGATATATATTTAATTATCTCAATACTTATAATTATATTTTTGTGCCCCCGTAATCGAAGATTCGGGGTACATAGTTTTTGTCCAGTCTAGCTGTTCGTCTGTCTATCTGTCAGTTTGCCTGTTGGAGAAAACGCAAAAACTTGTAAATTTTGATTGGATGGAGCTGGTTTAATATTCTCCATGTATTTCCTGTGACAAAACATTTCTTTAACCTTGTGTTTACCAACATATTTTGTCCTCTTTCAGGCGCGTACTGCCTATACGAAGTACGCAAGTGCGTACACATCATTTTCAACAAAAAAAAAAAAGAAAAATTAGAGAGATTTATTCAGAGAAAACTTTAACCTTGCCCAAACTTTTATAAAATGAATTCCATTTAGTGTTAATCCGCGTACCTGAGTATTACATGTATTTGATGAAGGAAAGCATACTTCACAAGTGTATTCATTGTGACAAGACCTTTCCTTTGGGTTTTAATTTTTTTTTTACCTTTGACCTTGGCCTTGTATTCGTAAATTAATTTGATCAAATATTATTCTTCTCTTTCTGAAGTTTGACCCACATTTTAAAAAAAAAAAACCTTGGCCATAACTTCTGAACAGTAAGCACAGGGGTTTTCTTATTTCACAGATATATAACTTATGACAAGGAATAGGTCAAACAAATTTGATCTTGGAGGTTGACTTGCACTTGCATGAGAAACTTCAAACCTCGTCATAAAGCTGCCAAACGGGGCATCGGTGTTTCACAAACAAATCTTGTTGGTAAAGAGCAAGTTAAATTCCAAGGTTTAGAGATCAAAATGTTACTTCAAGAAAGTATAGTGATGGGGATGTCCGTCCGTCCGTTACGCTTTGGGGTACCCATGGTCATCTCTTATCCGCAACTCTTCCTATACCATAGAATGAAATTTATTGAGACTTTCACAGAATCTTTGTTACATAGTTCCATAATGTGCACCTCCCATTTTACTTTTTTGATACGATGCAATTTTGGGTTTACCACAGCAAAGCATGGACACTGCCATTCTTTGTATAATAATTTGTGGGGTACCCCTTTTTTATCCGCAACTCCTCCTAAACATTTGAATAAATTTAATGACTTTCACAGATTCCCTATTACATATATAGTGCCTTTGTGCATCCTTCATCTGATAATTATTTCAAGTCTCGCATCACTGGCACTTAATTGTTTCTGTAATAAATTTATAACCCATATTATGATAATATCATTAAACTATGGGTTAAAAATTTATTACAGTTCTACATAAGTGAACTGATGTGTATCGCAAAGCAAAACACGGACTTTGTCATTATTATCGTATGGGAAGTGGGCCGGGATCATTTTGTGAGCTCAGTGCTTGATCACATTAGGCCTTACCTCTAAAATACTTGAATGGAAATTAATAATAAAGTTATTTATATTGCTTGTTTTCTTTCTGACTTGAATCCCTTTATATTAAGTATAAGTAGTTTTGTGAAACAAAACTTGTTTGTCATGTGTTTTGTAAAGAAGTCAAGTCAATGAAATTTGAATTTTTCATTACCTACAGCTAATGTTTATTAATTAATATGATCAGATAAGATGAGATAAAGGTCTATAGTAATGATTACCATTCTTACTTTTAATTATCTCGTATAATAGTCTTTGGGATATAATAGGCACGTAGTGATGGGGGGAGGGGGGTTAGAGCTAGGTGGCATCCCTCCTTTTTTCCCATACATAGCTTTAAACTATATAATGAAAGTCTGGTTACCCCCCCCCCCCCCCATTTATGCAAAAATATGGTAAAGTAAGTTTTGAAAAAAATATATGTTTAAAGGAATCTGGTACGTCCTACCCTTTGCTACCCCCCCCCCCCAGTCCGAAATATCTTACATTTTCCAGGCTTTTTAACGATTTTGAAATTTTACGTTCCTGGCACGTAAAATATCAAAATCGTTAAAAAGCCTGGAAAACGTCAGATATTTCGGACTACCCCCCCCCCTCCCCCAACTATCCTGAAATAGGATTTGCTTTCGAGTTTGGACATTTTTTTTTTGGCTTCTCAAGATTTTTTTCTTGGGGGGGGGGGGGGGTAGATTTTTTTATCTGGCCCCAACCCCTCTACTTCCAAAAACGATGCTACGTCACTGCATTTATCCCAAATTTTAAGCTTTCATAGATATATATTCGATTCAGTTTCATTTAAAATGTAGATCAATTTAATCTCTTTGGCCTTGGCCTGAAAGCGACCGTGTTTGCATACCAGTTATAGATAAAGCCGAGTATTTTGCATGATGCAATAATTTTATCGCTGATTTTTCGATATAACCTACAATTTAATTGTTTATTTTGTGAACAGCTGCGCTCCCTGGGGCCCATCCCTATCCCCTACCCCCTTCAAAAAACAATTCTTCTATTCTTAGAAATATTTTTGACAAATTAATAGATCTATAATTTGCATATTTTGTTAACATAGTTTGCATAATTTTAAAAATGAAAAGAAAATTTATATTGGACTCGTCAGTATATTCTTCATAAAGATTTCCAAAAAATACATATAAATTTATTACTATATTCATGTGCATGGTTGTATGTTTTTTTAATTGTTTATACGACAGCTCAGCATTTCTCAATAGTATGGGATATTGCACCACCACACGGTTCACTTACTTTTGTTATAAATAAATATTAGTCATTCCCCATGGTATCTCAGCTGTTATTTTAACAATGCGTTTTCAAGATTACAATTGTAAACAATCGCCTAAACTCTAAAAACAAACATATATATCGGCGTATTTTGAGAAAGTTAATACAAAACTTGATTTCTAGAAGAGAATAAAATTAATCCTGATGAAAAGATTATTGTTTTTACATAGTAAATTTTACGAATGAGAAGAAAATTCAATTTGTAAACGAAATTAATGCAATAGCTAAAATTTCGGTGCATCTTTAGAATTTACTACTGTTCAATTCGTATTACAGAGAATATCCGAACGTACCGGATATTACATCAATAGACGTGAACACTATTTTTAGAAAACCGTGTTATTTTCTCGACCCCTGATTGGATGACATGGCCTAGAATGAGTGTGTCACTTTCTAATTTTAGAGACAGAGATTACACCATATAGGCGGTTGCCGGTGCAATTTCCCAGCAGTAGAACGAATGTAGGAAGAAGAACAGGACATAGCCATTAACCAGGTAAAGTTTTATCTGATGAGTATAGTAAATCTATGAAATAGGTCATCAGAAAAAAACAACAAGATGTATCACAAACTACAATACAAAATACGACGACATCAACAAAGGAAAAATATGATAAAATTTTTGTTGTATTTGATTTCAGTAATCCCGGCCGAGTCCGGCGTACAAGTCGAGCGACAGAGAGCTCCGAAGGAGAAGACAGCGAAGCAAAAAGCGATTGCGATCCGTATCCAAAAGGTACGACGCACATTCGACAAAATCCGTCAATTACGGATTGAGACTTCTGAATCAAATAACGAAACATGTACGAAGGCGACATTGGACTCAACGCTCAGGACTATGGCGAGGGCGCAATCGTCCCCCGATCCTTGGACGAGCTGGTTGAATGGCTGGACCTACCCGGCGCCGAGTGCGGACTTGGGTATGGAACCGACATCAACCACGACATCCAACATTTCACTACGATTGGATCAGAAAGTAAATGGCCTATTTGACAACGGTGAGTTGCTTTAAAATTTACCTATCAAAAGGTCATAATCTCTCAAATTTACTATTGCTAACTGGACAACCAGGTGACAGATTTATAATTTTTGTTAATTCATATTTTTGCAGAATATGCTGGCATCATGGATGACTTTGCCGGCAACAAAATGGACTCTATCTTGGATAAAGAATTTCTGATATCAGAAAAGAGTAATTTGGGAATGGAGGGGGGTGAAGTGGAAGATTTCCTTGAAGCAATGGGTTCCACATTCCCAGGAGATGACTTTCTCAACAGTTTTATGGACCTTTCAAACTTCACTGATGTGCAGGTACTTGAGCATTTAACACAGCATTTCAACCATTCAGTGCTTTACCATAATTTCAGTTCAGAGTGGTCGCTGCATTTATTTGTACTAAATTTCTTGACTTTATTTCTTTTCAGGAAAATGAAGACAAGCCAGAGTTGGCTCTCACTAAACCTGTTATAAATTTTGCTGAGCCAGAGCCAAGTCCGGTTGTCGAGTTTACTGCTCAACAGGATGAAGAAATGGTTGTTCCGGAGACTGAGGAAGTCATCACGGTGGAATGTGGCAAAAAACGTAAACGAACCGTGACGGACGAGGAAGAAGGCCTAGCGGCTGCGGGTCTTGATCACGATTACATCACCAAAAAACCTCGGACGTCTACGGTAACTGTTGAATTGGGAAACGAAACGGATGAAGACAAGGCCACTTCTCCAGATAAGAAATACGTAGAGAGGCGCGTTAAAAACAACATAGCTTCTAAAAGATCGCGCTACGTCCGTAAAATGAAGTTTGTAGAGATGGAAAGTGAGGCAGAGAGGCTTGTACAAGAAAATCAAAGGATGCGGCTAAAAATCGAAGAACTAGAGCAGCTCGCTAAAGAAATGAAAGCGGCCTTAATTAACAAACTGGCTGAGAAAAAGTAATTTGGGGGGTGGGAATCCGGGAGGGGTGGGGGTCATCTTGAGTTTTAAGTATACATTAATTGATGAAAACAGTGGTTTTACTATGTTATTTTTAGGAACTGTAACGTAGCTGTATATGAATTACATCTATATTTAAAAAAAATAAAGAAAAAAAATTCAAGTTGCTTAAAAAACAACAAAAAGGTGAAGATAAAATGTTCATAACATTAAATACCATGTACATTTTTGTATGTCATATTTATTTTATGATAAATGTACATATATTGATCCATTGTTAGAAGCTGTAACATAGCTGTCTATATTTTTAAAAATCGGGAAAAACAATTAAAGTTGATTTCTAAAAATAGCAACCAAAAAAAGAGAAGAAAAATTAAGTTTTAATCTCATTTTTTTACCAATGTATGTCATTTTTTAAGGTACATGTATTGACCCAAAATTTGTTAGGGTTTGTAGCATAGCTATAAATGATTGAACATCTTTGAAAAAAAAAAATTTGAAAAAATTTAAGTTCATTGATGAAAAAAAAAGAGAAACAAAAAAAAGAAAAAAAAAATGTTTTGACATCCTGACAATTAATACCATCATACTATGTATGTCATATGTATTTCATGAAAAAAAAAAGAAAAAAAATGTTTTGAATCCTGACAATTAATACCATCATACTATGTATGTCATATGTATTTCATGACCCATCTTATACAAAAAAGAAAAAAAATGTTTTGACATCCTGACAATTAATACCATCATACTATGTATGTCATATTTATTTCATGACCCATCTTACATGTATCAAGCAAAAATTTGTTTGTTGTTATCAATTTACAAGATGTGTTTGTTATTGATTTATAGAATAATACACAAATTAATGAAGTTTTTGTCATAATGTTGTGCAGCAAATTTTGAGATTTAATATTTTTTGTCATTTCCTAACATCACAAGAACATTTTATAACATAATGGCAATTTTTTTGTATTTTTCTATGCATTTTTGCAAATGTTGTCATCAGTAATGCCTGTGTTTAGTCCTTCTTCATGTATATATATTTTTAATTGATTTGTTGGACAAATTTTATGTAATAGCAAGTTATGTGGAGAAAATATGTTCAAGAAATCCACTAACATGTAGTTTTGTTTTTAGAATTCCTGTTACTGTATGAAGATATATCTACATTGGATATACTTAGTTAATGTCATAAGAGAATTGCATATGACAATTATTAAAAATACCATCAAACGAAACTATTTCTTTTGTTTTTTGTTATACCTTAATCTGGTTTTCACTTTAATCTACCTTCTCATGAAGTTGCTAAGATGTACCATTGGTGACATGTATGACTGGTTGGTGTCCCACTAGTTAAAAAATTTTATCGCTCAAATGGAATCGTCTTACGGACCCAGTTTGTGGCAAAGGCTTGTTCCAAAACACTGTTTACACTAACTTGAGTCCCACTGGCTTCTGAATTGCACTATTGAAAAAATGTATGATTAAGTAGCAAGATCAAGGACATCTCAAGTGGCATAAAAATATTTTTGAAAGGTAAAGAGGGATGTTAAATGCAATACCTTTTGAGAGGGACCAGATTTACCAGGATACATGTATAAATTCCATTTAACTAATAAAAGCTCTTTTTTTTCCAAATAAATAAGTTCAAATGCATCCTTCTATATATACTTTGAAGCCACAAATGAACCGATCATCTAATCAAGTCCAACCTTGCTAAAAAGTACAACCTTTAGATTTTCCTTTTGTTGTCCTTGATTATATAGCTAACTAGTAGCTCTGTAGTTGGAATAATCTGTGTCTCGGGACAAGCCCTCACCACAATCATTAAACTGGGTCTGTAGGACATTTATCATTTTAACAATAGAACATCTAGTAGCCCTGATCCTATTACAACTTACAAGGGAAATTCTACCATCATGGTACATGTACAACTCACCAGTCTGCTGTGTTTATGTATCACTGAATACTGTGTAAGTATTGCAGACATTTATTTTTCATTTTAATGATAGAACATTTTATCTAGTAGCTCTGATCCTATTACAACTTACAAGGGAAATTCTACCATAATGGTACATGTACAACTCACCAGTTCACTGCGTTTATGTGTCAATGAATACTCTTACCCTCCCTGTAAAAGTATTGCAGAGCAAATAAAGGTGTACATATTGAGAATTTTTCATTCATTCATAACAATTAGAGTACCTGCCTTATTTCTGCAGGTAAAATCTTCAAAGACCAGCGGCGGATCCAGGAATTTCAAAACGGGAGGGCACAGTAGAAGGTCTGCATGGAAGCCCCTTAGGGGTCCAGGACAAAGCCTTAGTGGGGGTCCAGGGGCAAAGCTCTAGGAAAACGAGGAAATTCTGATAGATAATAGGTGTCTTTTTTTTCTTTCGATTTTAGGATACAAGTAGTACAAACAAAATTTCAAAAAGGAAATTCAAACGGGAGGGCGCACAGGCCGTGGATACACCTTTGAAGACAATGGTCTATTTGTGAGCAGAAATCACTACAGTTTACTAAAATTGGGAAAATTAATGAAAATAATGAATTCAATTAGATATTCTTGGACTTATATAATGCTAAAAATATTTCAATCTTTTACAAAGTGTGAGATTAACTGTAAATAACAATTTTTTAAATCTTACTTAGAGATAACTCTAACTGCATAAAATCAACTTATAAGTAGAGCTCTTTAGTGTGCAGTGTTCAGAGCATCAACAAGTCTATCTGATCTCCTTTCTCAGGAGTCATCAAAGGTAATTTACATTGAGCAAGTGAACATCATGATACATACATGTTTGTAATATGCCATTTTATTGAAAATAATCACATATAATCATTATGTAATGGACTTAAACAACAGACTTTTTTCCTTGAATCTGTAAATGTGATAAAATCAAATGCAAACCTATTAATACAATACTGTTTCACAAACCACACATTTTTAAAAGTGGGTTGACATATATCTCAAAAAAGTTTTATAAGAATTATCAAGGTCGAATATTCCATTAAAAAGCAAGGAACATAGTTACTTAGATGTTTCTCTTGTAAGGAAACATGTCCTTGACATTTTTGAACATCGTTCTGAAGCTCTTATATTGTTAAATTTACCATCATTAGTTACAATTTGTATAAAGTTAATATACAATTTACGGAACATTTCATGTAAGTATACAGGACATTAAAGGGCAACTCACTTTAGAAAACTGTGCTACACCATCATGTTAAATTTCTTTATATTTTTTAGTACCTATAAACAACCTATTTAAAATGGTGCCATCTTTGAAAATGAAAAAAAAAACACCTTTCATTTTAATCAACTCCAGGTCATTAACCAGTAAGAAAACAAATACAATAAATATACATGTACCAAGAAAATGAGTTTTATGTACAATTAAAAATCAAGAATGGGAACTAAGTAAACAAACTACTACTGTATGGTACTACACTAACATAATAATACTAGGGGGAAAAGACTGCACTCTGGTAATTTTTTTTTGAAATCAGACTTTAGAAATCAAAATTATAAGTATGAAAACAAACCATTTCACAAATCAATTCATTTTAAAGCTAGTTATAGGAGTTTGATTTTAAAAGTAAACTTAAAGAGAATAATATTTATACAAAAATTTATCAATTTTAGCAGTAGTTTAAGGTAATCATTGATGTAATCATAACTACGCTATGGACATGATGAAATTAAACGGAAACTTGCAAATACTTGCATCTAAATGAGAATACAATGGGGTATGGTATACAGAAATACACTGTTGTCATAATACGTGACAAGAAATATAGTTATACATTGATAAAAAAAACCCGCACAAGTTAGGTCAGAACGATCACCGGTACATACATATGTAATATCATCTGAAAATGTACCAGAGGAAACAAGGCATGGTCAGGTGGATTGCCTCCCCCTAACAACCCGGTATATAAAGATAAAACATTATCACTCGTAACAAGAGAGGACACGTATAATGCCATGGGAAACAACAACTAGTTTGTTTTTTACATATACATGATCAGTAAAAGTTTCTAATAAAAAAAATGAAGAATTCCATTAACGTTCAGTCTGTAGCTCAGTAATATACAATGTACGATCTAACTGCTGTCCCTTAATAATGCATGAAAACACCATTCACTATATATTAAGTACAATATAAATTCAATAAAAATCTTTTTTTTTTCAAATGTTTTTTTAAAGTGTCAAATATTTCATCAAGTTATAAATCAAATGCTTGGGGAAATATCTTCCACGATGTGTTTAACACCTAAACTGACATATAAAACCTAGCTAAAAAATTCAAGTCTCACAGCCTTAAATACATTTACATATTTGAAAAAATTAGCACTAATGACATTGGGATATAAAGTAAAATATGACAAAATGACCAAACAAATTCCACATGAACAGATGTATATTGAGAATGAATAGCTAGTAATATCTGTACACTATGGTAACAAAGTCATGTAGCATTGTAAAAACACATCTCTGCCTCTCCTAATTTTGTCCAGCATGAAGAGAAATGGTCTGGTAGACAACATACATTCTCCCTAATTTAAAGATCTAATAAATATGTTTTTTTTGTCCACATGTAATTTGTATCTCCTGAGTTAGCGGCAGTCTTCTTCACACAAGTCGTGTTGTCAGAACTAATTGCCCGTGTATGAGGTATGCTTTGTGGGATCTGTGTGGGGTTACTAGGTGGACACGGAGGAAATGTGGTAGTATATGTTCTGATTGGGTGAGATGCTCAGGTTGTGGCTAGAGGTGGACACATTTAGTGTACGACTTAACTGGCTCAAACGCTCCTTGACACAGATAGCCGACACTCGAGCCTCCGCGTCCTGGTCCCAGCATTCCTCTATGGTGGCTGCAATCTGCTCCAAGCCCTGTTCAAAATGATCACAATAAGTTCAGAAACAACAAACTTTATCAACAATCACATCACAAAATTTTGTGACCATATGACAATTCATTTGAGAATACATGTATACTTGTGTCTGTAACAACAAATAACTTAATAATCTAACATTTTTGAAAATTGATGTTAAACTTTTCAAATATTTCTTTTACTAAATTCATGCATCAAACATCAAGTTTTCCAAGACATATTTTCCTGACATTTTTAGATTTTATAAAAAAAATTCAAGCCTCAAGCTCTAAGGGTCAAATTAAGGAAAAATCCTCTACTATTTACAAGGTTGTTTTAATATAAAGTTAACAATTTCTGATATGTTATTCTGAAGAACCTTTCACAATATTTTTACTATATAATGAATCAATATAGTAGCCCAAATCCTGTCTTAAGGATTATTTAAATTTGAGTTAGCAAATCTGCTGATGAAAATTACCGGATGTTGAAGCCAATGATTCTTTATAGTTGGCCTCAGCTTCTTCATCACTACAAGTTCCTGCATATCCTCCAGTGTTGGGTGGGATCCTGCTTCCTCTTCAAACGGTAACTGGTACTCGTCAGCTGGTTGTTCAGAACACGAGTTCCGTGTCAGGAGCTCCCAGAGAACCAGTCCGCAGGCGTACATGTCAATCCGCAGGAAAGCATCCTTCCGGAAACTGATCGCACCCTCTAATATTTCAGGGGCCATGTATCGTCGTGTTCCAACCTATAATTATTAATCAGACACATTCTTATTACTGATGCATTTCAATAAATAAGCACATATGCTTAAAAAGGACTGCATGAATTCCCAGAGGTAACCCAGACTGGATATTACTTGAAATACTTCAAAAGTGATTCAGATCTTGTGACCTAGTTAGCATATCATGTTCATAATCATGTACACATATATTTATTTACCAGGCCATGCGTCTCTCCAGGGCTTTTACCAGGCTCAAATTTCAGCGCCAATCCAAAGTCAGCAATGCAAGCAGTCAGGTCTTCCTTCAGCAATACATTTTTGCTCTTGAAATCTCGATGCGCTACAGCTGGTTTAGACTGGCATCTTGTTAGTGAAACATCATCATGCAGGTAGGCTAACCCTACAATTCAGCAGATAAATTTTTAATGTTAAATATCATCATAATGTCAGAATCATATCATTTACGTTAATTTTATCATAAAGTGACATACCCCTAACCATGGATTCAGAGATTTTACACAACTGACTCCAAGTAACCGTGTTGCCCTTCAGAAAGTCACACAGTGAACCTTTCTCATGGAACTCCGTAATAAGCCACAGATTTTCCTCGTGTTTTTCCCCACCAACAAACAGTAAGATGTTGTCATGCTTCATATGGGGTAAGTTGTAGATTTCCTGCTCTGCCAGCCAAGAAGCTTTTTCTTTGAATGGCATGATTTTAACAGCCACAACAGAATTCAACATGTTGGCTTTCCAAACTTCACCAAACCTGGAAAATTAAATGAATTCACACACATGTATTACAATATTTAACTCACTTCAGAGTCATTAATTGTACAGACTCATTAGGCTATCTTTAAAATAATGTTTGCTTGCCCCTTCCCAATTCAGGGTTAAAATTATTGGATTATTTGGTAGTTTGGAAAATCTTTCTTTCCAGATAAATTCAGTATATTTGTTGACGGAAAAAGACTAAGAGGAATAACGAAAAAAAAAATATTGCGTCCTGGAATGTACGAAAAAGGTTTGAGTCGGTCCAATTTTTATTCAGTCTGTCATTATAGGCCAACCAAACAATTTTTTAAAGATGGCCTGAAGTGGCCTGTGTTACATGACTTACCTTCCATGAGCCCTGAGCTCTAACAGCTGGATGGGACGGTGGGGCTGATTAAACTCCTGGGTCCCCATCTCAGGGTCACTGGCTGGCAGCTGTAGGTGAGATGTGTACCTGAAAATGTTCACAAATTAAGATTATTGCTGTTTATATTTTATAACAATACAAATATATGAATAGCCCATCCTTGTAATGCTTGTGGTCTAAATAATTTTTATCTTTATCCAGGATATACATATTTATACAAATCAAAAGTGAAAACTCAAGAAAACATAGATCCACCTACAAGTTTCTGTTGTAGTAACAGCGCCACATGACAAACACCATGACGATGAGTATTACTAGTACTATGATAGGCACCAATGAATACATCATGATCTTCATCACTTTGTTGGCCTTCCCATTGGCATTAATTTTCGTGGTTGTATCTACAAAAACAAATTAATCAATCATTAAGATAAATTTATTATGAAAAGAATATTAAAAAAATCTCCTTAATCATGTGGGCATCAAATACCAGTTCAAAATTTGTTTAATATTCTTTATGAACAAAATCAACTTTCATTGGTTTTAAAGTCTTTTAAAGGACATTGCCCTTTCAATATACAGAGAAAAAAAAAATGCAATGATCACGCAATAATTTTCCAATGATTAACACTCCTCTGTAAAACTGAAAGTTCAAAGGTGAACACAGCAATGTGCACATTATAAGATGTATTTAGCTCACGAAAAATTAATAGAAATTTATTTATCTAGAGCTTTGCTCCTTGAAATTTTATTAAGGTGTTCAAGCATTCCACATTTTAATAAACATTTCACAAGTTATGACATTAATCATGTTTATATTATCAATGTTCAATATATTCTGATTTCTCAGAAAGATGGATTCATGGAAAACAGGCATCATCAGTTGTCCTTTTCAGCCTTGTAGAGATTCGGGGAGCAATACATTTGTAGAATGTTGACAGTAAATCTGCTTTCATTCTCTCATGTAAAATATTCAATATGAAATAAAATTCTAATTCTATTCTGAAAAGTTTTTCTTAGAGTATCAGAATTTTAATTCTGTTATTCTAATAAATATCTTTACATACACGTTTCTTTTCTTATACACACATTGACACAATACGCAGATATGTACAGTACAATTCTGAAACCAAGCCCACATGTAAATCTGTAGTATCTGTTACACTGTGTTAAACAATATGGTTGTAGTCATTACTCTTTGAACTCGTTAGTTCATTACTGATAAGTAGCATTCTTTAGATCCTATTTAGCTATTTTCACTTTAATTTCTTTGGTTTCAGGCAACATAACTTAGTCTGTTGTCCATCCCTGTCATTTCCATTATATTATATCAGGATAGTATAGCAGAATGCTTCACATTCTAACTTGTTTTATATGCACCCTGCAGTGCATATGGAATAATTAGCAAGGTACTGCATCACACATTCACTGCTCTATTAGTTACAAACCTTTCTCTGTGATTGACACTGGAGAGCTTCCTGCCATACTGATGTTGAAGTTACACAGATCTGTACGACAGCAACAGAAGCCCACGCTGTGTGTCTGGTGCTCACTGGACTGTACACAGCTGTCATTCTCACAGCCCTGGTTCTGGGTCCAACATCCTTGGTGCATCAGTTTAATTCCTGAAATATTTATCAGAAAAATTATGGGTGTTTATGGTCTGTGGATTGGGCATAGAAGTTGGAAAGCAAGTACAGTTGTGCAGCGCAAAAAGCCAATTGCACAAATAGAAAATTTTGACTACTGCATATTGATTCCATAGAGATGTTTTCTGCAGCAATAGAATCTTAATACACTGTATTGGTATTATCAAGAAATGTTAACATAATTATAGTTACAAAAAGAAAACTCCTCATTTACTATTCTGTACCTGAGCATGAATTGCAAGCAAAGCAAGTACATACTTGCTTTGCTTACAATTCATATTTCTGCACAGCATGTAAATGAGCACATATTATATTTGGTCTTATAGAAATGCATGTATTTTCAATGCATTATGAGGCATTCAATGAAAGCAGACCCAGACTTCATTTCATTGTTGGGTTTATAATGAAAGCTAGCAAGCATATAATCACCCAGACTTACCATTAGCTGAAGTATTGCTGGGACTCCAAGCAGTGAAGCAGTACTGACTTTCGTCATCGCACCTCTCATGTCTTTGGCAACTATTCCCTCCATTTTCCTTACAATCCGTATCTAACACCATACATAGCCGGGTTTTGTGGACAGCCAAAGCAGCCTCTGTTGACCAGCTGCCTATAAACAAAAACATCGGAATAAATGAGAGTAATCAATATACAGGTATGTTTAAACTTAAGTCAATGTGTATTGGAAATATTTAGTGGAAGGAATTCAAAAGTGTTCAGATCACATCTACATATTTATCCAAGTGAACCACAGGTAATTTAAATGATTCACTCCATTTCTGGATAACTTTCTAGAAAATTATCCTTACTTGAAAAATAATAGATTCAGAACTTGAACCCAACTGATATAGCATACACTTAAATTTCACTTTTAACAGGTCCAGCACAATACCCCGATAAAGGTATATAGCTTGATGAAGCTATATAGCTTTATCAAGGTATTTAAAATACCTTGATCAAGGTATTTTATGTAATGAAAATTCAAAAAAATTCTTTCAAAATTAATTACTGAAAGTCGAGTTCTGAGTTGTTGTCAGTAAATTCACCCATGCATGTAAAGTACTCAAACACAAACAAATCAGTATAAAAACGTGTCGTAAGAGGAGACGTTATTTTATGCTTTCTTTTTGATACCAGAGTGTTTTTCATGCACGAATAGACCATAGGCGCTCCCCATGTAATTCTGTAAATGACGTATAATAAGTATATATAGGTCTATCCCTCTATACTATAAAATATCCAAGGCTTGTAACTGGGCGCCATTGTGGATTTCGCCTGGGACCTCTGACTGACTTACTTCAAGGGTTTCTGGGGTATACTGGGCTGTTTATCAGCATCGGCTACTCTAATTTATTGAAATAAAATATTTGCAAGCTTTTATCCAGCACCATTCCGTTGCTTTCTCTTGTTTTCAAACATTTTTCTATTACTCCGTCACACATAGCTGATCTCGGCCGGAAGAAGTCGATTTCGTCGATTTTCAGCAACTCGTTCGAAAAATAACTTTCGGAAGTTTGACCATAGGCGCTCCCCAGAATTACATGGGGAGCGTCTATGGAATAGACACACTGTCAAAAACTCAGAACTCGACTTTCAGTATTTGATTTTTAAAAGAATTTTTTTGAATTTTCATTTCATAAAATACCTTGATCAAGGTATTTTAAATACCTTGATAAAGCTATATAGCTTTATCAAGCTATATACCTTTATCGGGGTATTGTGCTGGACCTGTTTAATATAAATAAAAAAAAAACAATTTAATATGTGAACTTTTCAAGACTTTCCGAGAGAATATTCCACATCTAAAACGTCATAAACATCATTTATTTAAAAATATACCATTCGTCAATGCTTACCCGTTAAATGCTGGAGAATAACGAATACAGATGTCAACACGTGAATCCAAAACATTCTTCTACATTTTTGATTTAACACGGTACATTTCCTTCGGTTACAATCGTTATTTTTCGCTGCTAAGAATAATTAATCTGAATATTTAATCACATTTTTCAAAAGCAAGCTATTTTCTTTTGTTAGATCTTTTTTCCTTACACAAAGCAATATGTTTGATAAAGTATGTCCTCTGTTTATTTTCACGAAAATGGCTGACTATTTTTTTCTAAAAATGCCCGGATGTAAAACTAAATTAGTTAAGTCGATCAGAGAGTTCTTCGTAATTCTATCAAGTAAGTTAATTTAAACCATCTTCATTATTCTGGGCACAATTCGTTTTTCCCTTTTTCAAAATCTAGTATGATGTGGAAAATCTTAATATGTAAATTTATGTATTTATATAAATAAAGGTACAATTGTGGTGATTTTTCGTGGGGTTTTTTTTCCATATCAGTAGAGACTTGCAATATTGCCTGTAATTTATGCATAGGGTTTCCTTCCTAAATTTATTACCATCGTAAATAATACTTTTTTAAATATTTCTTAAATTTGAGGATTACATGTGCTTTCTAAAATCTATAGAGTGGGGTTATTTTTATTTAAGAATTTATTTAATTTATGGGGAGATCTCGATGTAGTAAGTAAAAGTATATTGCAGTTACTGTATTTTTCTCTTACTGAGTTGGTCTTCTCCTAACTAGGTAAAATGAGGTAAAACATGTAGGAAAATACAAAATTTATTTGTATCTCCAACTTTAAGATAATCGGAACTTCATGTTTCGTTTGTTAAATTATTTATTCATTTAATCATTCAAAAATTTATTTATTTATTTATTTATTCTATGTAATTTATTTATTTATTTATTTATTTATTTATTTATTTATTTATTTATCTTTTATCAATTTTTTTTTAACTAGTATTTGATTCATTTATTAATTCATTCATTTTTACTTTTTAAATAACTGACAAAATTTTTTTTTAACCTTCACAACAACATTCTTGCAGATTTAGTATAGGGACGGGTATATGCCTGCTTTACCTAATTAAATCGAATAATACCCAGCTATGCTTTATAATGAGATTTTATCAGACGGTTATGTAAGATATGGTAATACAACGTAAGACAAACATTTTCCCAGTTCATTTAAATTACACATGCTGTTGTTATATGACGTAGCCGATCAATCAATAGATCTGCTTTTGTTTGCGTTCAATGGCAAGGGAGAATTTTATTCTGCTTTTTAAATATCGCAATCCTCTTCGCCCATAAGACGTATTTTGAACACGTTGTTGACTTTCGAACGAATACCTTTGTATTTTTTACTATGCATAAGGAATGAGTGGTGATAAGAGTCATATCTTTTAAGGCCCGACTTAAATCGTTCAGGTCCAATACGTTTACCTGAAATGAATGGACTATAGTCTCACTCATTTGCCAGGTGTGTGGGAAGTGTGTGGTATAATATTTTGACACTTACAAGTTTTGGAATTCAAAATGTCGGATCTTGAAAGTGGAATGGAGGATCGCAATAATAGTGAAGAAAGTGTGATCGAGGAAAAACTGAAGTCGGATTTTTCTGAGGTGTTAGATCGATTAGATGAAATTAAGATCGATGCTGATTTAGAAATGTCAGAAGTGACGAGAACTGAGGAGGAACACGAGGAAGAGGGGTCAGAAACTCTGTCCACGGGGGCTAGTTCTTCCACCTCAGAAGTTACCGGTGACAAAGAAAGTACAGGCAGCGGCCAGGATGTATCCCCAGAGAGTAAAACCCCAGAAAAGAGCGTACCAAAACGCCAATCGTCCGAGAAGGACAAGAAGAAAGGGGATTCTGTGTTATCGAAGCTTCGAAAACTTACCAAGTTTGACAAAGCTCCTAAAAGCAAGGCGGTGACGACTCCTGACTCTAAATTTCTCACTATACGTGTAGACAAACTACCACAGATTTTCGTAGCAAAATATCTTGGAAAGAAAGAAGTGAAAGGCTTATTTGGACTTCATCATGTGCGAAAACCGGTGGATGAGCTCGTTAGAGTGGTTAAAGACAGTTTGTTGGCAAATGAGAAAGTGGAGTTGCCTCTGACTTACGTGGTCATTTCTGGTCGAGGAATTGACATCAGGGAGCACAAGGCCAATACTGTCAAGGACAAGGTCAATTATGGACTCATACCCATCGACTTCATTTCCTACGGTGTCCAAGATCTAAAGTACTGGAAAGTGTTTACTTTCATTGTAGTGAATCAATTGTCCTCACGGACCAAAGAAATGGAATGTCACGCTTATATGTGCGATTCTACAGCAAACTGTCGACGGATGGCTCTGGCATTGGGAGTTTCATTTAATGTGTACAAAAACAAATTGGCGACCGAAGGAAAAGCACATAATTTTCAGGTGGAATTGAGACCTCCGGACGAACTTGCCGATGAGTTTGGAAAGGATTTCGAAGCTTGATCATAACAATATTTTTCTAAGGGAAAATGTTATTTGTGTTCAACATTTTTTAAGACTAAGTTGCAATGAGAGTGTACTATAAACTTGCCATTTACTCATGAAAGTGTCCAAGTATTTATTCGAATTGTTTAAGTCATTTCTTGTCATATAATATGATTGATAATTTGGAATCTAATACGAAATTTGTGTCAAACTGAACGAATCAGTTAGCATGACCGAGTACTCCCTGAACTGCAAAAGATGTCCATGTATACCGGTATATGAGGTACGCACCCGGTTTTGGTTACAAGGTACAACAATGACGTTGTTGTTGTTTGCGGTTGACACAATGACCTGTTCAGATCACCTTAATTTTAAAGTGTAGGATCAAGTTACAACTGCAATTCATTGTTACAACAATAGGTACCATTCAAACGCTAGAATTTTCTCTCCAGTCCTGTCTATAAAAGGGCAAAATCACTGAAGCAAACGGTGTCAATATTCAAGTATTGTATGTATAATTCATGCCTTTGGCTGTAACAAGATAAAATCTTGTGTATATGTTACTTTTATTTAAAATGCAGTCATGTACTCTCCTGATCATGAGGACAAATATTTTTACATTTAATCATATTTTATAAATGGCCAACGACCTATGTTATTGCTTTACATTTTAACTTATCAGGGACAGGGCTTTTGTTTCTTTTTATGATGGAAATACATTATCTACAAGAGAGAAAATTATTATTCTGTTGTTTCTTATAAAATGATGTTTTTACATAAAGATATAAATTAACCAGTCCATTTTACTTTAAGAATAGATATGAAAAAGTAGCATTAAATTGCCTGTTGTGCATAATCATATTGAAGCCATTTAGTTGGAATGTACATATTGTACTTTATTCCCCCACATTCTTTTCGAGCCTTAAAGTCAAGACTATATAATCCCTTTTCGATCTCAATGCTGGGCTGCCTTAGCTGATCCTTGGTAAAGAAAACCAGATTGCAAGATTTGTTTTACACTATAACCTTCCTTATCAAAAGTCAAAACGTTTAATTTCATTCTGCCATTTTGACCAAGTTTGATAGTTCCTCTTTAAAAAAAATGTTTCCTGTCGTTCAGTTGTATACTAGTATTCAAGAAACGCGTAAATAATAGAACCCCTCAGTGGCTTTGCCAACCATTGCCTTATAACTGGAAACACTATTACATGTATATGTCATACATCTACTTAATATTTTCTCCTTTGTACCTGTTATTAGTTCTAGCATTAATACTGCATTACTATCACTCAATATAGATTATAATGCATTCATTCAGCATCCATATTTTAACTACTAAATTCTTGCAATTGCAAATTCCATTAGCAATATCATATCAAACAGTGCTTTAATTTTCCAGAAATTTTGCAGACAGACACACGGGCAGATAAACGGTGAAAACATTACCTACATTGGGGGAGGAAACCACGAACTTACACCAAGTTCCTTCTTATACCAAAGAAAAAATTCTGAAGTAGATAATTTATTACTATGAACAATCTAAATGTTGGCTTTTGGGATCAACGACTGACAACCATTATATTCTCACTGCACGTGCAAATCACAACTTGATCCTCTTCATTTAAAGCAATATGAGATGCATTTTTGAAAATTTTATTCTGCTGTTAAAATGTGTTATCATGATAAATTTGTATGTAACTTAAACCTTTATGACCAATTGGACTAAAATAAAGCAGAAGAAAGACTTCCATATATAATCCAATGTACAGTTTTATATAAGAAATCATTATTGTACAGGACGACAATAATGTAATTTTGATTCAATCAAAGCTTATGAATAGTTCTTCCATCGCAAATATGAACAACAAAAGTTTATTAACGTTATTTTTTCTGTCATTGAAATAGTTATTTACAATTTTGAAACAAAAATATTCAGACATCAAAGTTGCAGCTCATATTGCTTTAACATTCAATTGCAAACACTGAAATATATCATCACACCCAAAGGTCACCTTCAACTTGTTCAAATAGACGTATACATGTACTTTATCAGAGTTCGTTTGCAAATGTCTTCTTCAAGTGTATTTGCAAAGAAATTGCGTTCGAGCACATATAATGTAGGGTATTAAGTGCAGTTCAAAGATACTAGGACAAAAAAGTCTGAATACTATTAAATTCAAAAGAAAATGCCTTTCTGGTGACTATATTTTTACTGTGAATGCAGCAAAACCTAATTTTAAATGACACACCAAAGACACAAAGTCCAAAAATATTGTTATCTTATACAGTGTATAAAGTTAAAATATTTTGCTTCCTGGACGTCTCCTGATATAGCTAAATTATCAAGTATAAGAAGTATTAAACAAACACTTCATGTAATATCCTGCATATATTATCTTATAACTAAATATCAAGTGGTGGGCCATGATTGAAAGATTGTATCATCCCTTAGGATAAAAAAAATCCATCAGTATAACAATTTCTACACACATCTTGATACTATATCAAAACTATATAACGATAGCTAAAGTACATAAATCTGCATGTATACATACCTTATGTTTTAAATGAAGGACGACCAAAGTATATGTTTTAAAACTATTTCAATATATAGTTTATTTCAGTTTATTGAAATGGACCTTTTCAGTACAATCAAGGCAAGGTATAATACATCAGATCGCAAGTTTGAAATCGAAAAAAAAATTAAAGATTTTGGGGGGCTATAATTACATAACAAAAATTACATGATAATTCATTCATTTAAACTTCTTTGATAGAAAATTTGAATTTTAACTCTGTTTTCATTTCTTGAAATGCAATGTAAAGAAAATATTCGTACTTTAGACCCTTTGAGTTGTGACTTAAATTCATTTTCCTTCTCAAAGACTTTTTTCTGAACCTAAGATCGTCATTGAAAAATAAACATTTACAATGTGTTGTTTATAATATTTTTTCATTAAATGGAACGGGGGTTCATCTTCTTCACTTGCATGATTGGGAATTTAAGGGGAGGGGGTAAAGGAAGATAATTTGTGAAAGTGACATTAAATTCACAAAAAATAGCTTTTGTGCTTGTACAGTAACTAATGGGCAATACTAGTATGACTTTTTTTTTTTTACTATGTTGGTATGTTCACAAAAGATGGAAATCGCTATTTATTAAAAAAAACATTTCCACTGAAGGTCAGTGAACCTTCATACTCCTTTTCAAATTTTGATGAAATAGGGTGAGATTGAGAGCAATAAACCGTGTGAAAGCCAAACGCTTGGCATAATGAGTACGTAATTGTGTCTCAAGAAAAATTGTTCTGTTCGCAGGCAGTTGGTTTTAATTTTTTTTTTCATCGGAGTACGTTATAGATAATGTGATTTATTAGGTAGAATTATTTTTATGAAAATAAAGATTAATCAGTGGCGTAGCGCACGCAAATGAATACACATATTTTTCACCCGAAAAAATAGTAATATAGAATCCAAACTACGTAGTAGGTTGGTCAAATTTTGAACTGTAGTCATGCATAGAATAAAAAAGGGGGATTCTATTTTAAATGGATTCTTCTCTTAATGTACATGTATTTCAAATCATTTGTACATACATGTATATATCTAAAAAACCAATTTGACTGTCTGCAACTAAAATGAATCATTTTACAATGTATAACTAACAATTCAAATTTCCTGCATTTTTTAAAAATATAAAGGGAAATCTTTTACGTACAATGTAAGACATGCACGTATCACAATATCGAAGCAAATTAATTATGACGTCATAATCAACTAACTTATTGTTACGTCACAAATAGTTTGTGTGTTGTTAGATACAGTCATTGCCTTGGGGCTCTGTAAAGATCATGGGTCTTTTTCAAAGTTGCTTTGCCAAAAATAACAAAGTGGGCGTGATGAAGGAAGAGATGGAGGCGTACGAGAAAGTACGACGTACAGTGGTTACAGACGAAGTAACAAAAAAGAAAGGCGGTGTGGCTTTTGATCTCACCTTCGTTTCAGAGGAAACCCCAAATATGCCTCCACCGAGATTGCTTGAAAACAAAAAGGAGGATTTTGAGAAATGGAGAGGTAGGCGTACATGTATATCCATTCAATGAGGTTATTTCGACTGAAACTTTTTTGTCTAATGTAGTAGGTATTAGTTTCTTCCAAGTAATTGGAATGCGAATGTTTATGACTAGGAAAAAGTATCAGTATTTGTACCAATTTGAAATTAAAACATTTTGTATTTTAAAATTATCTCTGTTTGACAGAGTCTCAGGAAAAAGCCCAGATTGAGAAGCAGGAGCGGGCACAACAGAACAGAGAGGAAGCCCGCATCCAGAAAGAGATTGAAGTGGCCCACAAGGAGATGGAGAGGCTCGAGAAATACATCAACATAGATATATCACTGCCGAATAAATTGGACTCTTCTTCCATTGACTAAAATTTTAATTTACACAATGCTTTAATCTGTAATTTTGAAAATTGGAACCAAAGAGGGGATACCCGAGCCCTTTATTTGCTCTATTTGGCTTATAATTTTACCTTTTTTCTTTTTTGGCTTTTTTTTTTTTTTTTTTGATATTGTAAATTACCAATTCGCAATGTGGGGCCTTGGAGACAGATCTAAGGCTAGCACTGTGAAACAAAATTTTACTATTCCAATATGTTCACTTTTTCGGAACATTGGCCCTATAAATACTCATTCCGTCAGGGATCAGGAATGGGTATTACGTTGGAACACCCATCCCGTCAGTGATCAGGAATGGGGGTTCCTCGTCAAAAACTTCTAAATTGTAAATGAAACATCCGTTTAGAGATGTCCAAAAGCTTCGTTGTCCTCTCTTTTCAAAAAGCTGGTATTCAAAGGTTTAATAAACTAATTATTTGCAAGCAATTTACGGTGTTTTCTTATTTTTGTGAACAAAAATGTGTGTGTACTCTTTTTGCACTGAATTTAAGCATATCTCGGATAGAAAACATTATAATGTTAATTTTTTTAGCAGTTCTGAGGTACTAGTACTTATGCTATGGCTTGCAAAATCAATTGTTTTCCTAGCTTTTGAAGAACTACTCATTTCAAAATTTGCAACATCATCAGGTGTGCTGAATCTTTAAAAATATAAATTTAAGAATTTTTTACCACACTAAAAAAAGTACTGTTCCAAAAATTAAATAATGAGCATTTAAAGGCAATGTAAACAAATCATTTCACTACCTCATGTAATAAATTTTAAAAATCGTCAAATATCAGGCACCTCTCTGAATGAGAAGAGATAAATTTCACATGTCACATCTCTGAAAAGAAAAAGAAAATCAGAGTGAAAATAATGACTTTATCAGCATTATATCTTTGCTGACAAGGTCATTATATTGACAATGCATGCAACTTGCGAAATTATGATTTTAAATTCTTGTTTCTTCAACTTGTTTGTTAATTGCTTGTCTCGTTTTAGAAATTGTTCGTACGTAAGGCAATGCTCTTGTGTATCAAATCAAACAAGAAACATGAGCCTAGTATGCAGGTGAGAGGGGTGCATACCTCTATTAAAATAGGCACTGAAATATGAAAAAGATGCGACAGACGTAATCTTTCAATAATTTCAAGCTCATCGAGTATCAAATTGAATCATCTGATGTACCCATTAAGTGTTAATTGATTATTATAATGTTGATATCTAAATATCAAGTTGAAGGCATCAGAGTGATCAAATGCTTTCCGCTTTTTCTCATGTTAAAGATTTTGAATAAATTCTGCTTCATATATATACATGTATATTAATATGTTTATTCAACAATCAAGGGCCCTCGGGGGCATGAACAAATTATTACAGTATGATTACACAGATTACAATTCTGTATCATAGGTTTATAATGTAATATGACTAGTGATTAAGTTTGACATTGAGAAGTGCATCACCACAAGATGTATCATCATGAAAATGTAGGATTTACTGGATCAAAGTATAGAAAAACCATAGGATGATTAAAAAAAAACAAAAACAAACAAGAGGCCCAGGGGCCACAGCGCTCACCTGAGCACATCAGCTAGGAAAAAAAACACATATCAGATCAGAACTGAAAGTTAATTTAAGTTGGGGGGGGTTGAATTTTAACCCCCAAGGGGATCATAACTTGAGTGAACTAGAATCTACATTACCTGAGGATGATTCCATACAAATATTACTAATCCTGGCTTTGAAGTACTTGAAAAGCAGATTTAAAAAGGTTTCCCTATATATTCCTATGTAAAACTTTGGTCGGCCATTTTGGCCACACCCTTACCCCGGGGTCATGACTTGAACAAACTTGAATCTACACTACCTGAGGATGATACCACATGAGTTTCATCTTTCCTGGCCCAGTGGTTCTTGAGAAGAAGATTTTTAAAGATTTTTCCTATATATTCCTATGTAAAACTTTGATCGGCCATTTTGGCCCCGCCCTACCCCTGGGGGTCATGACTTGAACAAACTTGAATTTACACTACCTGAGGATAATTTCACATGAGTTTCATCTTTCCTGTTTCAATGGTTCTTGAGAAGAAGATTTTTAAAGATTTTTCCTATATATTCCTATGTAAAACTTTGATCGGCCATTTTGGCCCCGCCCTACCCCTGGGGGTCATGACTTGAACAAACTTGAATCTACACTACCTGAGGATGAAACCACATGAGTTTCATCTTTCCTGGCCCAGTGGTTCTTGAGAAGAAGATTTTTAAAGATTTTTCTTATATATTCCTATGTAAAACTTTGATCGGCCATTTTGGCCCCGCCCTACCCCCGGGTCATGACTTGAACAAATTTGAATCTGCTCTACCTGAGGACGATTCCGCATGAGTTTCATTTTTCCTGGCCCAGTGGTTCTTGATAAGTAGATTTTTAAAGATTTTTCCTATATATTCCTATGTAAAACTTTGATGGGCCATTTTGGCCCCGCCCTACCCCCGGGGGTCATGACTTGAACAAACTTGAATTTATTCTACCTGAGGATAATTTCACATGAGTTTCATCTTTCCTGTTTCAATGGTTCTTGAGAAGAAGATTTTTAAAGATTTTCCTATATATTCCTATGTAAAACTTTGATCGGCCATTTTGGCCCCGCCCTACCCCCGGGGGTCATGACTTGAACAAACTTGAATCTACTCTACCTGAGAATGATTCCACATGAGTTTCATTTTTTCTGGCCCAGTGGTTTTTGAGAAGAAGATTTTTTAAAAATGCCATAAATTTTTCTCTAATTCATAATTATCTCCCCTTGGAAAAGGGCATGGCCCTTCATTTGAACAAACTTGAATCCCCTTCACCAAAGGATACTTTGTGCCAAGTTTGGTTGAAATTGGCCCAGTGGTTCTTGAGAAGAAGATGAAAATGTGAAAAGTTTACGACAACGACAACGACAACGCCAACGCCAACGCCAACAACGACAACGACAACGACGGACAAATTTTGATCAGAAAAGCTCACTTGAGCCTTTGGCTCAGGTGAGCTAAAAAACAAAACAAAGCAAAAAAAAAACAATTAAATAAAAATAATAAATATAAGATTAAAAAAAAATTCTTGTAATAATGGTAGTACTCTGATGTGTAACTAGTGCATCTTGAATACAAAGGGCACCAGGGGATGATACCTCTATACAGCCAGTCAGGCAAACCTGTACCCTAAGTATTGAAGACGGTCATTCAAAAAAATCATTTAAGTATTAACAAAAATAATAATTTCAATTAATAAGTACTTAGCACATAATTATAAACTTGATGCAAACTAATCTCTTGGAGTTAGTTCAATAGATATTTAACATTCTAATCTGAATATATGTATACCCACATACACAAACATACACTCACTGTTACACATATCCATGCATACAAAAATAATGATTTACATACAAATATATGTATATATATAAACTAATGGTACTATCATGTATAAATGTAAATCTGTGATCTTGAAGGTAGCATACAGTTAACGTAAGAAAAGGTAACTTGGATACAGAGGGTACCAGGGGACGATGCCTCTGCACAGTCGATTATACTGGCAAACCCGTACTCTAAGTATTCAAGACACCCATTCTGTACATTTTGGAAGGTAGCATACAGTTTACAAAAATTTAAGGTTTCTAGAATCATCATCTCAACATCTTGATCAAAAATATTCTATCAAAACAAACTGAGGGTTCTTAAACTAAAGAAATTTCAGATGACATGAAGCTGAAAGTTGTTAAAATTATAAAATTTGATTATTCTTACATATATATCTTAAGCATATGTCATTTTACCTCAGCATGAAACAGTATGAAACACTGGCTTTGTGAATATACTTTGTATTAGAAGACAACAGGATTGTATAGCAAGTTTTGATAAAATTGTAGAAAGATTTAGAAAATAAATTCAGGAAAAATGGTTGAGTTACACCAAGGACATATTCATAACACAAAGGACATAAAAGTAACACAAAAGACGTTTTGTTCAAACCTTAAGATTAAATAATAAATTTGTTCCCCTTCCCCCGCAAAAAGCACAACAATGGCATTATCTAATAGATGTTAATGAAAGTATATGATTTTAAGAAAAAATTGCTTGAGATTTCATTTCTTTTTTACATTTGGAGTCCGACTAGTAACATTAATGATTAAAAAGTAACAACATAGACATAATTGTCCAATTATAAAGATACGCAAACATCAACAAAAAATAAAAATAAGTTATGCATGAATAATGCAGGATTACTAACATAGGACCTAGAATCATAGATCGGTGCATGTACAAGTATTTGTATGTCAAAAAAAGAAGTTGTAACACCAAAGACAAAAGATAACACAAAGGACATCTCACTTTATTTGTTTTGTTTTACATACAGCCTCCTTCCACACTGGGTTATCTATTTAATATTTCCTACCTACAGGATGTGGAGGACGAATTATAACCAAAACGTCACCTATGTTGTTCTAATATTCATCTTTTACAGTTTTTGGTCAAATTTAGTTTTTTTTATCTTCATTACTGCTTTGATTATACATGAAGTTCTGATTGTCTCTTTTCCAGTGTTTCAGCATTTTTATCTGGTTTCTTTTCCAGGGTCTCATTGTTTTCAGTATTTTTATTCATTTTTTTCCAGGAACTCTGCTTGCTGTAGTTTCTCTTCATATGTACTCTTTTGTCTGCCCTTCCTTTTTTTATAAATTATTTGATTTTATGTTAAGTGTTGATCAGCTGCATAAAGAAAATACCTTTGCCTAATGCCTATTTGTTGATTGAAATAAATTTCAAGATATGCTGGGAAAGATAGAGATCCATATTAAGTACTTCCTCTACTATAATGTCAACTTTTACTTCAGCGCTCTGACTTCATTCCAAAAGTTTTATTTTATTTTATTATTTATTTTATTTATACTTCTATAGTGTAAGGTTTACAAACAATTTCCAACCTTTACGGGGATTATCAATTAGACAAATCTGCATGAAGAGTATCTTCATCTACATTCAAACAAAAATTCATGATTGGTGACAGATGCATTGTTCCTCTGATATATAATCTTTTGATATCGCTTTTGATAGTGATGAAAAATTCGTAAAGTTCTATTTCATCGTCGGACATACACATTCCATGCTAGAATAGTCAAATGTTCTATATCTGACGTTACTTTGAAGGTGTCTGGATTCCTTTGATCTTTCACTTGTCTGTCTGTCTCTTTTTTGCAACTTTTGAAATGTTTCGTCCTTCCAATATCTTCATCGAGAGAACATAACATAGAATCAACAGGTTTCAGAGTAAAAAATGTCATATATCATAAAATCCTGGATTCTTATTTTATTCCCTTGTGTTTCTATACTTCCCTGGAGTTACCACTTTAACCATCTCATTTTTAAGGACTTCATTATATTTAATGTAACTCAA